AGGTCACATGTGTATTTAACATCAGTGACTTCGTTTGACCCTTTTAAGGTCACGGTAACCAAAATCATACGAAAGTGCTTTGAGTTTTGGGTTTGAATACGCGTCAAAGGTTACGTTGGGCAGTATGTTCCTAAAACAAAATGTTAACGTGGGTCATTTTAGGTCAGCGACCTATTCTGACCTTTCAGAAGTCCATGGAAGGTGCACAGTGCGGTTCCTGTTATCAACAAATTCGACATGAGCACCAGAAACTAACCCATGCAGCAGTCCCTGGAGTAATAAAACAGGTTGGTTTTGACCATGGTCTGACCTTCATACCCGGCCCCCCAGTCGATGAATTTGTTCATTCAATTACTGTGTTGACTAAGAAAGCGATTCCCTAGAAATTTACTTCGCTGAATCCAAGGCCTGACTATGAACAACCGTAGGTCAGGGACTTTACAAGGTACACTGACCCCCACCCGAGCGCGTGTCAATGTTGAGTTGGCCCCGTGACGTTGAATTTGGCCAGATGGATCCATCTGGTCTTTGAAATGATAGGAAACTAAGACAAATCAAAACTAGCAATTTCAAGCCGTAAATATGTCAACTTTTTTTAATTGGAAAAAGTGTCCTGACCACTGGCCAAAAAGCATGTTGTACTTTTATGGCAAAATGAGGCTTAACATACCATGTCAGAGAATATGAGTTTTAAGGCCTCGCCCCCAGTTGATGCCGGTTATTATACTCCTGACCAGGTCAAGTATTGCCTCGGGCTGCGTATATCTCCGGGTAGGACAATTAAGGCCCTAAATGACCAGCGCTATCGAACACGCCCGATAGTTTTCCCCGGGCGCAACACGAAAAAATAACACAAAATAATCAAGTTTCCTTCAAATCACAACCTGAAATATAAAAATAGATCACCTTTGAACGTGTGTGTACTGTACGATCGGATCTGCTAAGCCGGACTTCGGCTTGGACCTTTGATATTACTAAATCACCCGTCCAAACCCAATAGGCCCAAGTCATTCAATTAATGCAGCCCAATTTTCAAAGTGTGTGTTCCTCTATTTGACTCCCCCGCCTGAAGTCAAATGACGACAACTTCATCAGATATCACTGCCATAACACCATGACTTGGGCGATATGATAATGACGTTATGGTGACAGCGAAGTGTGCCTGCTGAAATCCCAGAATTGTTTCAATGGTCTTTTCCTACTTGTATTCTATCGTAGCTGGACAATGACGGATCAGGAGGATGCTGTTCTGACGATGGTCCTAAACGCCCCCCCCCCCCCCCAAATGTCAACAAAAAATCGTGCCTCTAGGCTCCCACACTAGAACAGATTGGTCTGGGAACAGCCAATTATAGGAATGCTCTCGGAACCGCCAATTGTAGGAAACGCGATTCTTTGTATCCCAGAGCAGATATTACGGAATCATTCCGCTTGTTTTTACCCGCACTGTATCAACAGTACATATATTATGTGCAGATCAAGTTATGAACAGCGTAAAACTCGTGCAAAACATGATGGCACTAATCGTATGGTATAAACGTAACATACACTACGCTTGAAAAACAAACATACTTTAACTAATGGCTTAACCCATCTCAAACAGGAGCGTGCAAAATGAGATTTGGCTTTATGCGCCTAAACCAATGGGCTTTGCATCCCGTTGATTCCAGATAAAGGTTACCCAAAGCTGCCGCGACAAATACCAACCAAGCCGGTAATTGGGTCCATCGGACTTCGTTGGTGAAAATCGATGTTTGGCGAACGGGCATGAAATGCGGAAAAAATCATGGGCGATGATTGACCTAAATCAATTTCCTCGCTGGATATGCGAGAGTAAGTGACGTGCGACATGGCGGCCCTTCCGCGTAATGGCGTCGCTACGAAGCGTACGGCGCCGTAACTAGACCACCATAATCTAAAAATTATTTACGAAAAATTCTAGGTCATCGGGAAATCATTGTCGGCCTTGCAGGGGGCTGCCTTCACTTTAGAATAAGAACCCCGTGCCTCCAGCGTCATGAACTCATGAAAGAAAACATCGAAGCCCCAACTTGTCGCTTGCAGCTCGAAATTTGCTATTTTGCAACACGATATTGATTGGTGGCTATGCTCTATTGCGTTGTTCCCCATTTCCTATCACAAATGTCAACCAGTTCATAAGGTTTTCATGGACACTGTCGTACGGTCCTTCGCGTTGCGGTGGATCGTAGCGGGCACGCCGTTACTCATAAATGGGTTACGGGTTGTTAGTTGGCTGAAAAGACTGCTTTTTGCGGCCATGGGGTACACCGATCGCGATGCAGTGTGATGGGTTTGCCGAATTGGACAGCTTATACAAGCATTCTGCTTCGCGTCATGAAAGACGGGCTTCCCTACGCCCTTATTGGCTCCATAGACTATCCTACCATCTTTTTTTTACCATTCTTACGATCCCATACCAGTCTATTTCCATTCACACCGGATGTTGGCACCACCCACACAACTGACCACCTCTACACACACCTCCACTGGCCACACCTACGCCACACACCGACAGTGACCCACACACCGACCACACCAACACCGCACCGATATGCACTGACCGCACTGCTCGTCTGGCACCTGATGGCCCACTGCACCGGTCTCGGCTGGATGAGCTGACGCCAGTTCGGGTTCGCCAGTCTCGCAGGGGCCTGCGATTTCCGTAGTGTCCAGAACGATACAATTTCCGTCTCGCAGGTTCCGTCAAAACAATTTCCGTCGTGCACGAACAAAATCTGGCACCCAAACACAGACCACCACCCAGCGATTCAAGACTGCCGTCCTCACCGCAGTTGAGCATTATCGGTTATACAACTGCGAGCCATGCGAACACAAAGGCGGCGCGGTGCGAAGCCGGCCGGAGACCCGCTCGGCCGCGCCAGCACTCACCATCTGACATGCGCGCGCTGGCACCTCCAGTCGGTCACCGAGCCGGACCTCCGGTTGACGTGGGGAAGATCATTTCAAGCAGCTCCAGCACGAATCATTTGGTGTGGGCTTACCGAATGCAGCTCATTGAGGGGTCTCGTATATTGCAAAGACACGATTTAGAGACGATTTCGAATTTATTGGCCGCAACTACGTGACAAAGTACCATCGGTCTGAACATAGTACCACCCAATAGAGACTAGGGCGCATCAAGGTATGTCGATCCTAATGATCCTGCACTTTTCCATCGAGACAACTGCACGTCTCCTTTTTAAATCCAAGTGATGTCCTGTAAAGGGCTACAAGAGCCCTCCCTCCTTTCCCCCCGGTCCACTGCTGGCGGAATGTTTCCTGGAAAAATTTGGCACAGATTGGTCCTAACTTGCAACCGGAAACAAGTGACGCCAGTGCCTGCGGCCGAAGAGCGCACTCACAGGCACACGGGAGTCAGCTTCTGGGCCGACCAGCAGGGACACTCGATGGTCACCATTCCCACAGACCCGTCCCCCCCAAGTCTCAGATTTGGAATGACGGCGGGCGGCAGCCGGCCGCTCCGCCCGCGACAAACACGCGCCGAAACACAGCACAGTAACACTGCAACACCGGCCGAACCCGTGACACGCCCCCAATTTGTCCGCCCGAGCGCAGAGTCGCTTTGTACGATGGTGCCTGTGTAGGGCGCGGTCGGCCGGCCCCCGGCTGGTCGAGCTCAGTCCGTGGGGGCCAGCCCAGTCATCACAGCACAGAGGGCCCGCTCACGCGCGCGCGCACTGGTCCCTCGGCGGCCTCGGACCGCACCCGAGCACCGCGCGCCGCGCGCCGCCGCCGGGCCGTCGACTCGCGCGCGCCGCCGCCTCCTCGACGCGTAACAGACTCCGCGCCTCACTCGCGCGCGTCCTCGTGCCTCACGAACGCATGCACCGCTGCGGCGACACTGGGCCCAACCGGGCTGCTTGCACCAGCCGCCGCGTGGAACGTGTCGTCCTGCTGGAGCGCCGGGCGGCCGTCACTCCGGCCAACGGTCGGCGGCGCCGGCCGGCCGCGGTCTCATCGCCTCTTCCCTGGCCGACGCGGAGGGACTGCGCCCCTCCGCTGCCGGAGGGATGCTTGGACGCGCCTTGTGCAGACAGCCAACGGGCACGCAAGAGACCGGACACGGCCGGCGCGGAGAGCAACACAAGACGGAAGTTTCGCGGCAATGCTTAAACGATGGACAACATGGCGGCTGGCGTGGACGACCTACTCGGCGAAGACAGCGGCTCCGGTTGCAGTACAGACACCAGCCGTTTGAACGCGGCGAAAGTGGAGACTGTTGGGATACGACCGAACGGCACGTGATGAGCGAAAGCTCCAAACTAATCATTTGGACGCCACCAATACGCTGTACACGTTTAAGGGCTCATTGCCGCGAAGCTGCAGTATGCACGGGTTCATCCACTCCAAGTGTCACGTGACGTGGCTGGGTGTGGGGCAGTTAGGTTTAAATAATGAAAGTGAGCACTTCGAGGGAATGCGTTCCGCTCATCACTGTGCAGCCTCACACGAACAGCCAGCCCACCCCATGTGACAGAGATACCGCTTTTCTTTACACGAGGTTAACTCCTATTGTGGCACAGCACGCGCGTCAGCCCACGGGATAAGTTTCATTTCAATGTCACCCGAAGTGCCGTACGGGGACGCGGCCCCGAGCGTCCACGCCATGTCCTCTTTACAGCATATGAACGCTCCGAAGGGTACATTTTGAGTGCCGGCCTACCCTTCCGTGCGGACAAAGTAGACCGAGGAAACGCGCGTTGACGGCAGGCGGAGGGGAAGGCGGGCGAGCCGCGCCGCCCAGAGGGGAGACCAGACCAGACCGGGTCGGACCAGACCGGACCAAACCAGACCAGAGACCGGCCGGCGCCCACCCGCCGCTGCGGTGCCGCAGCCCGGCGCTCTTAACGCTAGAAAAACAGTCTCAGAAAGAGAGCAGCGCCGGACACGTATGTACAGAGAGGGGCAGAGGAGGGGGAGTGGGAGTGGGGGTGGGGGCGCGGCGGCCGCGGCGCCGCCTACTGGTCCTGCGCGTCGCGCTCGGTCGGCTCGTCCTGCTCCTGGTGGCACTCGGCCACGTACAGCGCCGGGTCGATCACCTTGGGGATCGGCTTGATCTCCGTTCCCAGCTCACTCTCGATGCGATGCAGGCTGAACCGGTCCTCGTACGTGATCAGGTTGATGGCGATGCCCAGGTGGCCGAAGCGGCCCGACCGGCCGATCCTGTGCAGATAGGTCTCGGCCATGCGCGGGAAGTCAAAGTTGATGACCACGTTGACCGCCTGGATGTCGATGCCGCGCGTGAAGAGGTCTGCCGGAGCACGGGTCGGCGTCAGCACCTCGGCAAGCTTCACGGCGCACTCAGAAGCAAGTCGCGCTGCTGATGACAGAGAGGCGGACCACCCTGCCGCCCAATCAGCACACCCCCACAAAACAGGCACCAGCAGACGTGAGTCACAACAGCCGACCCGTCACGTGACGGCTGACCGACCAGCCGCGGCGCCCACGTACCCCCGCCGCCTGCCGACCCCGCAGCCGTGCCGGCGACAGTGAGGCGTACCGGAGCACACCAGGCTCGCACGGCGCCCACGTACCCCCGCCGCCTGCCGACCCCGCAGCCGTGCCGGCGACAGTGAGGCGCACCGGAGCACACCAGGCTCGCACGGCGCCCACGTACCCCCCGCCTCCTGCCGACCCCGCAGCCGTGCCGGCGACAGTGAGGCGTACCGGAGCACACCAGGCTCGCACGGCGCCCACGTACCCCCGCCGCCTGCCGACCCCGCAGCCGTGCCGGCGACAGTGAGGCGTACCGGAGCACACCAGGCTCGCACGGCGCCCACGTACCCCCCCCCCCCCCCTCCCCCCCCCCCTGCCGACCCCGCAGCCGTGACGGCGACAGTGAGGCGCACCGGAGCACACCAGGCTCGCACGGCGCCCACATACCCCCGCCCCCTGCCGACCCCACAGCCGTGCCGGCGACCGTGAGGCGTACCGGAGCAGACCAGGTTGCGGCAGAGGCCAGCTCGGAAATCGTGGAAGACCCGGTTGCGGTGCGACTGCTGCATGCGCGCGTGAATGTAGTAGCAGGAGTAGCCGAGTTCTGTGATCTTCTTGGCCAGTAGCTCGACACGCTGGGTGGAGTTGCAGAAAATGATGCTCTGGTTGATTTGCAACTGCAAACGCGAGTGCGCCCGGTCAGCTGAGGGAGAGGGAAGGAGGGGGGGGGGGGGGGGGTAGAATCTCAAGGAGTGAGCCCCAAGCTTTAAGGAAGGTACAGCACCTTTTTGTATTTTCCACCTCCTGTCAGATCGGACGCGTGTGATTTTATTACTAATACCAGTTCTCGAAATCTTTCCGAATTGCGTAAGTTGTTCAGTGCATTAGCGAGGAACCTTATTCACATAAATAGGACGGTAGTATTAGTCATCACACCTGCGAGACGCTCATAATCGGCCATCACACCTGCGAGACGCTAAACACAAGACGGGGAATACCCCTTTTGGTGACCAATTCCTTGGCAAAACGCGCTCAGGCTGAAATCGAGGGAAATATGTACCCTATGCCCCTCTTAGAGCTCAACGCTATCTACAGAGCACGGGACCACTCAGACAGGAAAATAAGTAATCTATTCTTATATGAAGTCGGCGACCAAATCTCAATATACAGGGCTCCTCACGCGCGGTGCGTACGTGATGCGCCTTTGTGTGATGTGTGCTAGCTTAAAATCGTTTACATGTGTAAGTGATAACTGTCGCGATGTGTGATGCCTGTTCAATTGAAATCGTTTGCATGTATAACTGATGCGCGACGTGTGATGCCTGTCTACTTCAACTCGCTTGCATGTTTGAATAAAGCGTGATGCGCGATGCCTATTTGCTTGCATTCGTTTGCATGTACACGTATGTTCGCGCATTCTAATTCTTCTATGGACACTGTATCGCGGTAATGACTGGCAATCAGTCTTTGTTTAATCCCCTGAATGTTGGTGTCCAGTAAAAAATGCGGCTTACTTTTAAAAACTGACAACATCGCGCAGTATCATCGGCAGGCAATTATGAATTTACTTCTATTGCTTCCATACAGGCATGTCGCTGAAATACCAACCCCTCTATACCTCTATTCTCCTGGTTATCATCCGAGGAACACTGATAATACTACTACCCTATCTTTCTGAATTGCTCAAAATCTCAGTTAGGGTGGCAGCTCCTGCGCGAAAAGTCTCACTGCACTCCCTGCTCAACACTATGCAAGTAATAAGTTTCATTTGTCTTGCTATTTTCCAGCGTGTGCTCTGCACTGTTAGCGACACGGTAATTTGTCAAATGTTCGTAATCAATGCTGCAAAAGCTTGAAACACCGTTTAGACCAAAATATACACGAGCATGAAGCTATTATCACAAGACTTTAACAAGCCGTTAGACTGCATGGCTTCGATTTCTCCCCTATGGCGTTTACCAAAGTGGCTCGTTTCGAGGCGCACTTCGGCTCTGGGAATGGAAGCGTCACATGACATAGCGACGCACCGGTTCAAATTCAACCAATGCGCTTCTTGGCAACAGGCCCTCCACGCCCGCTAGGCCAATCAGAAACGTTCTTTTACCCGCACTAATGGAGGTTCCCTGACGGCTGCCATGACGACGGTGGTCGGGAGTTCAGAGAAGAAGCCTAGTGCTGTTACACAGCGCTGACAGCGTGATTTAGACTACACAATGATTGCGTAATTCAGACTAGACAATGATTAACAATGATATCCAGACGTTTTGACGGTACAGCAGTGGCACTATCCAGTGCTATTATTAAACGTAACTGGTGCCGGGGTTTCACTCGAGTATGTGTTTACAGCATATTCCAAATATTTCGATGTGATATTTCGAAAGTGGAGCACTCCTGTCATTATGCTACGGCATTCACAGAGCTTCACGGCGTGCACAGTACCCACACACGCGTCTGGGTACAGCGGCGCAGTCAATCACAGTCAAAACAGCAGCTCTGCCGCAGGCGTGGTATCCCGCTCAGCCAGAGCACGTGCCAACAGTCAGGTACTTTACCTTCGAGAACAGCGTGTTAAGGCAATGAACCTTCTGCTTCTCCTGGACGAAGGCGTAGTACTGAGTGACGCCCTTCAGCGTCAGCTCGTCCATCAGGTTAATCTCGTACGGCTCGCGCAGATGCTTACGCTGCGAACACGCCAGAGCAGCCAGTTACCTCAGTGCGGAATACTTATGAAGATCCAGCCGATACAAACCAGCAATGCTCAAGAGCCCATGATCCTATGGTAGCGGTCATCAGCGAACGCCAAACACGTCGCAGCACGGCCGGCGCAAAAAAAAAATTAAAAGCGGTCAAATCTCGGCTGCGCTGGGAGCGGACCTACCGGACTTACGACCTAAGCTCACTTAAGATCGAAGCAATTCATCCGGTGCCGGCCGCAGGTTATTAACCGGAGCGAGCAGGGTCACTGCCACACCAGTCTGCACGTCCGTTCGGCAGCCGGCCGGCACGCGCCGCGGCAGGGACAGGCGAGCGGGCGGAGACACGCGCCGCCGCAGGGACGGGCGAGCGGGCGGAGACACGCGCCGCGGCAGGGACGGGCGAGCGGGCGGAGACACGCGCCGCGGCAGGGACGGGCGAGCGGGCGGAGACACGCGCCGCCGCAGGGACGGGCGAGCGGGCGGAGACACGCGCCGCCGCAGGGACGGGCGAGCGGGCGGAGACACGCGCCGCCGCAGGGACGGGCGAGCGGGCGGAGACACGCGCCGCGGCAGGGACGGGCGAGCGGGCGGAGACACGCGCCGCGGCAGGGACGGGCGAGCGGGCGGAGACACGCGCCGCGGCAGGGACGGACGAGCGGGCGGAGACTCACCATGAACTGCTCCACAGTCAACGGGAACGTGGCTGAGAAGAGCAGCACCTGGCGTGTGGACGGCAAGAACGAGATGAGCCGGTCCAGCATACCCTTGAAGTCCTGAGACAGCAGCTTGTCCGCCTCGTCCAGCACCAGTATCTTGCAGCGGTCCATCTTGCACACCTGTTTCTCCATCAGGTCCAGGATGCGCCCGGGCGTCGCAACGATCATGTGCACTGCAACACGTGACGGCAGGCTTCGATCGGAAGCGTGACGGGGGCCGACAGAGGGCCCACAGCACGGCTGCCGAACGCCCACGGCTTCTCCTAGCTGACAGCACAAGAAAACTTAAGGACAGAAGAAAAATCATGATGAGCGGTCCCTCCTGCAGCACAACACGCATTCCTTTCAAGGGACCAGATCTCCGCGACACCAAAGGGCCAATGCACACCTGCGCACGTGCCCGGCGTAGTGCGCTCCCACCGGCGCGCTTCTAGACGGCCGGCCGGTCGCAGTGTCTACCTTTCTGATAGATTCTCATGATGTCGTCCTTGAGGACCGTGCCGCCAGTGGTGACCATCACTTTGGTTCCCAGGTGCTTGGCCAGCTCGATGCATATTTGACTAGTCTGCAGAGCCAGCTCTCGTGTTGGCACCATCACTAACGCTGCAGCACAGAGAGAGGCGCCCGTGCGTCAGCGTCGCCCGGCGGCGCCGGCAGGTCGGGACACCAGACACGGCCCGCGCCGTGGTCACAGCGGACCGTGTCGCGCAACTTGCCAGAGAGACACCAGCGCAGCTCATCTTGCGTAACAAGTCCGTTAGACATCTGATGACAAAACACCAAACCCCTGGATAGTAATCAGGCTCGGCCCGGCGCAAAACTGAGTCAGGCTACTGCCACCGCCCTTAGTCGCCAACCGCCAATTAACAAAAACTCACAGGTCCCCTTCGGTACGGTGGGTCACGTCCGTACAGAAGAGCACATGGCACCGCCTCCACCACAAGAGGCGACGGCGGCGCCAGTCGGCGGCCAGACCGCGCGTGCCGCCACCGTACCTTGAATGGCGTCGACCTTAGGGTCGACCTGGCTGAGCACGGGGATGCAGTAGGCGCCGGTCTTGCCGGTGCCGTTCTTGGCACGCGCGATCAGATCGCGGCCGCTCAGCGCCAGCGGAATACTGGCCTCCTGGATCGGCGACGGCTTCTCCCAGCCCTTCTCGAAGATACCCATCAGCAGCTCACGCGACAGACAAAAGTCCTCGAACTCGTTGCCCTTGGTGGCGGTGACGTCGCTGGTTCTGATCCGGCGGTCCCGCTCGGGCACACTCAGCTGCGCCTTCCAGCCGCCGTCCAGCTCCTTACCCCTGCGGCCGCGGTCGACACGTACGGTCAGCTGGCTGATCACACCCCGTCCCACCGTCAGGGCCGCTCAGCGGGTCGCAGAGCGCCCCGTCCACGCACCTCGTGCAGCGCCTCAGGTCACCGATCGGCCAACTCCTTCCAGCGACGCCACTGTGCTGTACGCTACGTAGAAATTCACAGTCGCTGGGAGAGTGTAAGATCGATATATTCTGTTATCACAATCCTTCTATAAGCTATTCAAATCCAGAAGACCGAGAGTCGTCACACATGCTGACGTCAAGCAATCGTTGAAATAGACCATGAAAATACTCGACGATTCCAGAAGCGCTGTTGATCAAAAGTCTCACTCAAGACTATGAACAGTCAATAAACACTCCTTTAAGAATGTTCTTCAGTCCCCTCTTCTCATGTGCTAAAAACATGACAGTACCGAGTTCCAGATTGGTTCCAGTTCACGGCTACTGAAATGATTGAGATGTCTCCGGATGTACGACATAAAAATCGAAACGCGTGCAATACTTTTGGAAGGGGTGGTTTGACTTCCCTATTCATTCTTGTCGGCAAAAACCACAGGCGCCTTGCAGTCACCATAGAGCGTATAGTACATAGTCCTACGTCCCAGCCGACACACCCGGTGCTGTGTCTTGAGGTCTCCGAGGATCGTGCATCAGTTCCAGGATAGGGAATCAGTCCTGACGTCGGCCGCTGCAACAGTGCCCCAACCCAGTGGGATTGTCCCCGCCGCGGAGCAAACGCCACGTCAGCCAGCCTCCAGCTGCAGCGACCGGCCAACCGCCACCAACTGGCGCCAGCGGGACCGCGGCGCCGACCACAGCGGCCAGTCACCGCACACACACACATCACACGGAGTGCAGACGATCACCTCATCTCCTTCAGATGCCCCGCGTGTATCGAGACAGGCGTGTGACAGAGCATCAGTTGAGAAGCGGACGGCTCCAATAGAAAGGAAATGCTGTACGAACAGACAGCCACTAAACAGTCGAACGAACAAGTTTATGAGTATAGGGCCTAGCACTCGACTGGTAGCGTGCGTGTGGAAATCAAGCACTACTCGCACAACGCGACAGCGAAGTCATGCACTAAAATATATTCACCTCCCCTTGCAACAATTCAGGCCGTTGGTATGCGCTCTAGGCCTTCGCGGCCGCCTGGTGTCTGCCATTGGCAGGGTTTATATACGGGGAGCAGGAGAACAGCTGCTGCCCCGACCTAACGGTCCCAGCACTAGGCTCTCGCTTCACATTTCAGCCACTCCACCCCTGTCGTATATAACCTTGCCGCGTCATTAGGCTCCACCATGTGGCGCCCTCGAGAGCGGCCCAGCCATGGGGCCAAAATATTGCCGGTGTGACGTTCCGCTAATTGCAAACCATGCGTCATGTACAATGTGGGCGGCATTGTAATCAATGACACCTGGCCCAACGAATATCGCCAACGACATTAGAACAGATCAGAGGTAGCAACAATATTTACGGCACGCCGTGTTGCCAGCTAATGCAATGATCCGCGCTTAGCAATCGTACAAAATATATCGTGATGTGCGAAGAGGAGACCATTCTGCGTTCAAGCTTCAAAAAACCGCAAGACAAACAGACTAGATGTTGTCCCTGGCAGCGCGCATGCCGTGAATTCCGGCACAAAACAGCCTATCAGGGAGCAAACACTAGAGCCGCTCGCCACATCCGGGGTCAACGGAAAGCCACGTCCGGGAGTGGGACGCCCGGTTTACTCACAATCCATTTACAGATGACCCGCTCGGGGCTGGCACGGTCCACTCACGGCCTACTGCAGATGACCCGCTCAGGGCTGGCACGGTTCACCCACGGCCTACTGCCCACGACCCGCTCAGGGCTGGCACGGTCCACTCACGGCCTATTGCAGATGACCCGCTCAGGGCTGGCACGGTCCACTCACGGCCTACTGCAGACGACCCGCTCAGGGCTGGCACGGTTCACTCACGGCCTACTGCAGACGACCCGCTCAGGGCTGGCGCGGTCCACTCACAGCCTATTGCAGATGGCCCGCTCAGGGCTGGCACGGTCCACTCACGGCCTACTGCAGATGACCCGCTCACGGCTGGCACGGTTCACTCACGACCTACTGCAGATGACCCGCCCAGGACTGGCACGGTCCACTCACGGCCTACATCTGCCGCGCGTTTACACGAGTGTCATCTTTGTAGGCCATCGCAAAGCAGCAAAATTCTCCCACGTTCGGGAGGGGGGGGGGGGAAGGAGCACAGGTACTCTGGCCATATCCTTCCCGTCAACGCTCATAACGTCACTTATTTTTCCGGTACATCACCCAAGCCCAATGCCCCTACCTATCCTGCGCCCTTGGAACAAAGGCTCTCCTACACTCTGTTTCAACTCTTCGACCTGCCCCGTTTTTTTCCGGGGAGGAGGGCGACTTCGAATGCCAGGCTCGATCGCAATGAAATTGGAGGGTTAAATACAGCGGTAAACTTCGACCAAAACGGCGACACTCTACATGCACGGTGTCGGGGCAGCCTCACAAAGTGCCAACATTTGATGGGCATCCGGTAGCAGATGCTTCGTTACATCCTATATAGTTACATCTTACATGTTCAATTTACTGCTCCAAAAATAAATGCACCAATGGCAAAAGCCTTCCTATAATGGATGCGCTTGATACTTTGTACATTAATGCACCTTAAACAATACGCACGCTTCGCAAGACTGTCCAGCTACACAAAACTTTTATTTACTTATTTTTTGTTATTCTTGTTATTCACCAAACGCCTTTTGTCACTCTATACAGTCATTCAGTTTCCCGGAAAATAAACAGCCTATCACCGGTGGTACCCAGATGAGACATGGTCATCTGCAACAATAACAGCCTGACCATAAAACCAGTTTTGTGAGCAAGCTCCCAACAGCTTCGAGAGGTAGCTTGCAGTTCCTTACCACTGGCGTATCAAGTTCCAGTTCCAGAAATTAAATGAAGTTTTCAACGTTATGCAACACTGCAGTTCAATATCAACATGCAGTGTCAAGAGTTGTGGGGTCATCCTATTTCAACATGCAATACGCGACACTAAGGAACCGGTCCAACTCGCGTACCGTTCCAGAAAGACCACACAGTACATCTTGGCAACAAAACAACGTCGTTTTGTATTTATTAGCTCTTGGGTTTCAATAAATGCATGCAGTAAAGCACAACGAACGTCCAGAGATAACGAGCGCTTGGCCAACGGAAGACCACACAGTACTCTCCCAAACACCGTCAGTGAATCTTAAGCAATCTATAGTAGTCTTGTCAGACGCGAGCGCCTGGGGCCGGGGGTTGTAACAGCCTTTCTCAGGATCTGATTGTCGGACCGGAGAAGTTCGAAAAATAATCGACAGTTTCATATTTTTTTCAAAAGATATTGTCCACATCTGTAAGTCAATTAAATCATAAATCAGACCGTGCCCCCCCCCCCCCCTTAAACCTTCCAGAGACTGACGACTTCGGGGGCCCTGCACAACCAATCACGATTGCCACACCAACATGCATATTCTCTGAAATCCGCCGCAAAAAGCAACCATCTTTTGCGCGAAAAAAGCGTCACGGGCCGGGCGTAATAGGTCTCGGCTGTCTCAGAGAAAATCTTAATCCGTAACAGGTCACGGGTTTGAAAGAGGTTTAGAAACCTGTTTTACCGAACAGAAATTGCCCCATTTATACTTTGACCTGGCAGTATCTTCTTCCATAAAACGATCTAGCATTGTAACGTATGACAGCCGATACCTTCCATCGATTGTGTCAAGAATCTGAAACCCAAAGGAACACTAAATTCCTCGACCATACCAAACATTGCTAAAATGCGCCAAATTCACTGCTGGACAAGTGCTGGAAATTTCGTGGGCATATCTGGCACGGTTCATATCATACTGTTTCACAGATCAGAAGACACATCTACGACCGAGTACGCGGTTCCAGGCAAATACAAGATACCCAAGTCATTCAACCGCTGAACAGTCTAGCCATAGCAGAAAACAAAGGACGATAACAGCACATTTCAGATGCACAATTCCTCCGCACAATCAACACTTAGTTTGCGAGAGCATGTGGCCCGAAAACACACAACAGCGTGCAGTACCCAACATTTAAGATGACTGGGCTGCTCTTATCCCGACCAAATTTAGAGGGCGAACCTTCCTTTTCTGCGAGAGGGCAGGCATTTGTATAGTCTTCTATCCGCTCTGTAATTGGCCGAGATGTCACGGGCGTGCCCGCCAAACAGCAGAGGAAACGGAACAACCTTGCTGCGGGACACCATGTCTGGTCTTCCAGGGATGCGAGAAAATAGAAGTCATACCAGACCAGCTTTCTTCAAACTCGTATCTTGAACCGGCGGAGGCAGCGTATGCGCCTCCAGACGGTGGTTCAATATGGTGCTCAGATATACACCGTGACCTCGTGCAGCAGCTAATAGCAGCTGCTGTGATACACGGATCCGCGTGACAAACAGCTGCACACGCCCTTACACCGATACACCAGCCTCAAGCATGGAATAATGCGCGTAAGGCCGTCGTTTACAAGCTATGAAGTCGCCAGCACTACGGAGACACCACACACGACGAACGAACCAACGTACAACGTACATAGGAGCCGACGAACGCCGCACTGCTGAAAGGCAGTGCTTGCAAACAATAACATACATCCTACGCCGACCTGACGGTGTTTGGGATCGGCCTGCACTACTTCGAGCAAAAACGCTATCCTCCATGCACAGGCCAGCTGGTCGGCCTGCGCATCATGCCATGTGACGCCACGTGCCACGTGACGGCGATGCTACTCGGGCGGGAATGCGTGCTGCGCGCCGGCGGCCAGCGCGCCCGACATGACGTCGGCCAGCCGCTCCAGCGTGTTATGCAGCTTCATGGCGGGCGCGCCCGGCTGGCTGCGGTGCAGCAGCTCCAGTGCGGCCGCGTACTCTGCCTCGGCGAAGGCGGCGCCGCGCTCGGTAACACCCGCTAGCACCTCGTCAGAGTCCTTTAGCAGCAGCTCGTAGTAGGTGCGCGCATGGTCCAGCGCCACCTCGCGCGCCATCGTCAGGTTCGTCATGCTCTGCTGCAGGCTCAGGATATCGCGCACCATCTTCTTGACGCCGTTCTCATTAATGCGTGTGATGTGCGTGACGGCCGAGATCAGCAGGTTGGAGACAAGCGGCGCCAGGCCCTCGAAGATGTAGCGCAGCTTGCGCTTGCGCAGGGCCGACTGCAGCGCCTCCATGATGGCGGCCAGGTCGCGGTTGAGCCTCATCACCTCCGGGTCAGGCTCGGAGCTGTCCAGGTTAGGCGCAAACTGGCCCTGGCGGGTGAGCGGCAGCAGGTGGAAGAAGCAATGCACGCGCACCTCCAGGTGCAGCACCAGCAGGCTGCTGTCGGCCAGCTCCTCCAGGTCGCGGCCCAGCTGCGTCAGAGTCTGCGCCGACGACTCGGGCACGGCGCCCGACTCCGCCAGCGCCGCCGCCATGTTCTGCACGTAGCCGCCCAGCCACTCGAGGCTCTCGTGCAGCCAGGCCAGCTGGCGCAGCAGCTGCACGTCAGCGATTGTTTCTCCCGGCCCGATGTCACCGTCACCCAGGTTGCCAGACAGGATCTCGGTTTCGCGCCGGTTGCGCTCGCGCACCTCCTCAGGCGACTCCTCTACGGAGAGGTCCTCCGCGCCGGCAGCGGCGGCCGCCGCCGCGCCGCCCTGCTTCTGGTTCAGCCAGTTGGGCAGCTCGCGCAGGAAGCGACTGATGTCGTCGTCGTGCGCCCATTGGGCCGAGACGACAGTGCGGCCGTCCTCGGCCTGCGTGACGCCGCGGTACTGCGAGCCGCACGCCTCCTTGTACTGCACCAGCACGCCGCAGATGATAGAGAGGAAGTGGTTGCAGTAGTCTGGCAGCGAGGTCATCAGCGTGCGCAGCGAGGCGACGAAGTGGCGCACCTGGACGGCCGACTGCAGCAGCGGCTTGGCGGCGCCGAGCTGGGCCAGCTCCGTCGGCTCCTGCAGCGTCTTCCACCCGTCCATGCGCGTCTCGGCCAACAGCGCACCCTCGGCGCGCAGCTGGCCCAGCAGCACCTCGCCGATGTAGTCGTTGATGAAGGCGTGCAGCGGACAGTGCGACGACTGGCCGAGCTTCTCCTCGATCTCGGCGGCCAGCCGCATCAGCGGCGGGTACAGGATGGTAATGTTGAGCGGGTCGGCCGGCACCAGCAGCGCCCGCTCGGCCGGCGAGTGCAGAAGTGCCACCGCGCCGCCCTCCACCCGCTGGCGCTCCAGGCGAGCCTTCTCCTGCAGGTATGCCCCCATATTCAGGCTGGTGGACGACGCGTCAAAGTTGAACAGCTGGCGGGTGCGCACGCGCTGCGGCCGCTTGCGGACGAAGTGGCTGGATAGCTCGGCTACAGTCTCGGAGCGCGGCGTCAGCGGTGTCTCAGCGCCCGTGCCTGTCCGCTGCACATCCAGATACTCGGATGTCACCAGCTTCAGCACGTCCTGGATGCGCGCCCACACGTCGTCCATGCTGTAGAGCACGATCGTATCAAGGCCGCGGCTGGCGGCGGCGCGTCGGAAGGCGGCCAGCACGCGCTCGTGGGTAGCTGCCACAGCGCGGAACTGATCGGACACGGCGTCTAGCAGCTGGGCGAGCAGCGCCGGCCCGTCGGCCGGCTGCACCAGCGACGGCCCGATGACGGGCGCCACCACCTGCACGGCGCGCTGCTCCAGCAGCAGCTGCGACGTGCGCGTCACCACAGACAGCAGCTCGGCCTCCATGCGCGACAGCACTGCCTCCACGGTGTCCGGTAGCTTCTGTAGCTGCGTCAGACACTCCACCAGCACGGCCGGGTGGCTGGGGCCGTCGCCGCCGTCCAGAGCCTCCAGCTCCTCCTCGCCGCCGGCCGGGCCGCCCAGCAGGCCAGAAATGTCCAGCAGCGGACGCCGCTCGCGATCGCGCGCCGACGAGCGGCCCGAGCTGCGCTGCTCGTCGCCACGCTCGGAGCCGACGCGGCCCGAGCCCCGCCCGGAGCCGTGGCGCGACAGCGCCGCCAGCGCCGCCTGCGTGCTCTGCTGGTACAGGTGGCGCTGCAGCTCGTCAGTCAGCCGCTCGTGCAGGCCGTCGGCCAGAGTCTCCAGCTCGGCGCGCACTTCCTGCAGTGCCTGGATGCCGGCCAGCTGGCCGTCCAGCTGGGCGACGCCGGCCGTCAGCCGCCGCGTGGCCCGGTAAAACTCGCGCCGCTGCACGTGCACGCCCACGGCGTCCGGCAAGCCGCGTAGCTCCTCCACACTCTCCAGGATCGACAGCATGTGCTTGTGCTCCATGCCCTCCTGCCACAACTTCTTCAACTCGTCGCGCTTGCAGTGCAGCAGCATCTTGCAGTTGACCAGGTTTTCGCGCACGGTGCGCATGCGCGCGCGCGTCGCCGTGATGCGGCCGGAGACATTCTCGTAGATTTGCATGGCGCGGCGCAGTTCGGTCTGGTGGCTGGAGACCAGCTCCTGCAGCTGCTGCTCGCTGCGCTGGTACTTGTGCTTGAGCGCGCCCAGCCGCTCCCGGAACTCGTCCGGGTGTGTCAGGGACAGGTTGTCGAGCTCGCGCAGCAGAGTCTGGCCCCGCTGCGTCGTTCTGCAACACGGGAGCGGGCCAGAGTCAGCGGCGGCGTGGCGCTCCGCTCTTGGGCGGCCTGACTCCGCCGCCGCCACTCCCGCTCCCGTGCCTCTCCACTCACGGCCGGCGGCGACCGCACGCGCCGCGCAACGGCAGCTCGGTGGCCCAGCGCAATCCGACCCCTCCGGGCATGGGGCAGAAATGTGACGACATCGGCTGGCTTCGCAGTCACCCGAGCCGGCCGCCCGCCCGCCGCCGGGCGACACGTAAGCATCCTCTTGCTGGCGCGCGACACTCAGGCACGAGTGACCGTACATGTTTCTGGTCACAGACCAACACCGAAGTGATTTGTTACAGAGCATACGCAACAAGTTGTACCGGTGGAAATATAGATGTACTACGCACAAAAACAGCAGTGGCGGCAAGAGCGCTGGTAAGCCCAACCTTTAAAAACTACACCTTACATCGGGCCAGTAGCCACGACAAGTGCACCTGCAAGGAAGTCCACACAATCACCTTCAAACGTATTAATTCGTCGGGCCATGTAGCCCATCGGCCGTCAGCGCGTTAATCGTGTCTTAGGATGGTGCATAGCTCTACTTCGCGGAAACGGAGGATAGGAGCTTTCATTGGCTAGGAACCATGAACCAGGTGCCGAGGCTTGTGAAAGCATTGTAACCTTGCACACAGTACGGAACACATGCATATTGCATGGTATACATAATAAAGGACTAAATTGCCGATTACAAGTGTACAAAATCAGAAACAAAACAAGCAACCTACCCTCACATTACCATATATGTAAGTAATTGAACCACCAAGCAAACTCACAGACCCCCTCCCCCCCCCCCCCCCCCCACCCACCCACACTTTCCATGTCTGATCATTGTCCAACATGTGTCACATCGCTTGCATGTTTTTGGAGTGATGTTTAGCAGAGCTCATAGATCATTCCCCCCCCCCCCCTCCCCGAGCCTGACCCCGATGATTCAAACCAAGATTGCAGCTGTCTACTTATGAGTCATAATTACTTTCACACCCGCTCGGGTGGAGTGGGGGGAACTGACGCCCAAGGGTTTTTCCAGAGTGGTTTCCGAACGGCGGCCAACGGCCAAATTTTGCAAAGCTGTATACAATTGAGTAGCGGACCATATAGCGTGAAAAAACATGTGCCTTGTTAAGTTGCTGACCTACGGCAGGTCAGTCAGGCCATGGACTTAGCGAAGCTAGTTCCCAGGGAATCGTTCCATCCGAAGAAATAACGGGGTGTTAGACGAAACCATACATCCCTGAGATACTTCTTAGGCATCACAAGAATTCAACAACCAAATCCCGTTGACCTAGGCCCCGGTATGAAGGTCAGGCCAAGGTCAAAACCAGCTTGTTTTATTACTCTCGGGCTTGCTGTACGAGGCAGTTTCTGGTGCTCATTTCAAATTTATTGAAACAGGAACCGCACAAGACATCTTCCACAAGCTTCTTAAAGATCAGAATAGGTCACCGACCTTAAATGACCCGGTTCGACAAGCCGTTTTCACGAACATACTTCCTAACATGATCTTTGCGGCTTACTCTGGAGTACTCAACCAGTTTTCTAAGCTTTTGGCCAGCATAATCTTCGAAAAATCAAACAAGGTCACTAACCTGAAATGAGCACACGACCTTTTGCTTAGAGCGGGCACTCAGATTTCGGGAACACTTTGGAGATAAACTTGGTGTTTGAGCTTGTTTGACCTCATCTGACACGAAAGTCATGACCTAGGAACTTCTAACTTTGACACAGGCGAGTTCACGCACAGGCCAACACACCCTGTGAATTCATTGTCTCTAGCCCTCTAAGTTCCTGTGATCTCACGGGGGTCTGACTGACCCCCACCTGAGCGAGAGGTATCCAGCTGGCCACCCGGGCTCGTGTTAACAGAGCGTCCCAAAGTACTGTGTAGAAGCACTTTCTCCGTTGTTGGCACAGGTAGTAAGACGACAGAAACCAGCCCAAAACATGCCATTTCCACCCTGATCTAATACGACTCCTCAAAGGTCATCCACATGGGTGTTAAAGACACTGGTCACATGCAGCTTTACGCAAGCTACCCAAGGCCATTTCCAATTTAAGATAGTATGTTTGGTCTGGGGACCAGCCGACACTGGCTTTGTGACTCTTTTGGCAAAGGGAAGAAAATGTGCAGGGTGAGAATGGAATGCACCTGATAAAACAATCCCACATATCTTATTTCCAGAATCACAAGAAAACTATGGTTAAGAAACCGGCTTGTCACCCCACATAATGCATGTAGTTGTTATAATGTAACTACAAAACCTTGATAACTATAGCAGTCATTACAAACAATAAATTTCCCCGTCCCCAGCGACGGGTATTCAACCGGCCCCCCGGCACATCTTTACGGTTCTAGGTGTTGTGGGATGGCATTTCACACTTCCAAAAGCTTCATATCTACAAAGCAATTGCACAATACAATGCCATTTCTATACTTGTATTAAGCATATTTTGGCTTTGCAGCTGCGCCAAAACTCGAGCACAAAATGAATGACACGCTGAAAACTCAGTAAGCTGTCTTCAATGCTGTTAAGATTTTGGTGCATGTATCCATGCCAGGTCCTGCTTTAACTTTTGGTATATGGTACTACTATACATGGCCATCTCCTCGAGATTGTGTTTGTAGTTGGATCAGGGCAAATGAAAATAAACTTACAGTCCACTGTAAAACAGGGTGTTAAAGAAATTTTGACAGTAATAATTAGTTTCAAATGCAGTGGCGGCAAAAGCTCCACATCTGGGCCATTTAAACAGGCTACTTGTGTTCCTTTGGTTCAACTATTAAAAGGAGTCAAATAGCTTCCCAAACTTTTTGTGTTCTTGGTGTCCTGTAACTGCAGAGGGGTGCCTAAGTGTGCCTCTGATCTTCCAATATAGCTCCTTTATACCACGTATGTCTTTTCTACGAAAGCCAAATGATGAACACTCAAAGCTAATAGCCTTTAATGGCGAAATATACATGAGCCTGTGGTGTCAATATATTGTAATATTGCCGTATTACTGATATACCCTAAGAGATAACCAACCCCCCAAACTCACTTGATGTTCTACTAAATTCACGATCTGAGATGACCTCTATGTTGTGTCAGAAACACCACAACCCGGAGGTGATCTTTGAAACCCTTTGGTCTGTGCCATGCCTGTCTAGGTACCCCTCAACTATCCGGTGCAAATCTCAGGAGTTCATGGGGTAGCCCCATCCTGCGTAGGTCTTTAGGGAGTATCCCGACCGTTCTGCGCTTTTTACTTAAAGTTACAATTGTGTTACTTTCAAAGTTAACACCTGTTTTCCGGAACCCTGAAAAGCCCTGAATAGCTTGGAATTTTGATCTGAAGTAGCCAACCCTACAGGGAAAAATCCCATTGACTTCCTGCTCACTAGTTTGAAAGAAATGCATTATATTTGCCTTGCTTTTACCAAGGTGTGTGTTATGTAATATTTCAAACATAATAAAGTGTCAAAAAGTTTTGCAGTAAATGCTATAAAGTCTGAAACACTGTTTCGACAAAAAATAAGCAAACATGAAGCTTTAAGCTGTGAATTAAATACAACATTACACCATGGCTTGGATCTCCCCTATGGCATTTACTACGTTGGCCCTTTTTGAGGCACACCGTCTTTGGGAATGGGAGCATCATTAACCCATATTGTGCCCTGGTTCAAATCTCAACCAACCAACATATGGGTACTAGGGGTCATTACAGTGCACACAGAACTGTCCTCATTTGCTGTGAATGCAGGGAATAGACATGGTTTTTACAAAGAATTGACAAACCCATTAAAGCACACAAAAAAACGTCAAAATTGATACTCTTATGTCTCATCTCTTCTGCAGTGGCAGTACCCAGTGTTATTAGACATCACAAGTCCCGAGGTCTCACAAGAGCACATTTCTGGACTATGACCCAAAGGTGGGACACTACATGTAAGCTGTTCTCTATGCATCTCCTCAGCTTTGACAGCTGTTGACTGCCCATGGACAGGTCTTTTTTATGTCTTCTCATGATAGGTCTGGGGCGTCTTTTCTTTGCTGCATCCTGTAAGAGTCCTTCTTATTCTGCATTTACAGCTCTCATTTATAGCTGGTTTTATCATTATTTATGCAACCATTCACAACAACCCTGCTTTTATAATCATGGGCACTATTGTGTCCCTGAGCACTGCCTCTCCTAAAAATCTGATTTGAATAGGAAGAGAGGAAAAGTTAAAGGGAGTGCTTGGGTTTTCATCACATTTAGGGAGAAACTGTAGGAAAGATATGGAAATCAGGCGAACTTTCAGTTCTGCTGAATATCTGCCAGTCCAGCTGCCTCAGGTGATGTTTGGACACAGTTTGATTTTAAGGTTTTATTGCACTCCCTGTGTACTCACTAAGCAGTACTCACCACACATATATATATATATATATATATATATATATATATATATATATATATATATATATATGCTGGCTGGAACATATAAGCACTGAATGCAAGTCAAAAGTCTTATGAGCCCAGCTCTTCTCTTCAGTCCCTTAATCCACTGTGTTCCAATCAAAGATGCCATAAATAATCATAAAACAGGAACATGTCATGCACAACTTATCATCTTACCCTCAGAATATAATTACAACAACAGGGGACACCAGTGAGGTGAGTGGGTGAGGTAAGGTTAGGTAAGGTAAGGTAAGGCAAGGTTAGGTTAGGTCAGGTTAGGTTAGGTTAGGTTAGGTTAGGTTAGGTTAGGTTAGGTTAGGTTAGGTTAGGTTAGGTTAGGTTAGGTTAGGTTAGGTTAGGTTAGGTTAGGTTAGGTTAGGTTAGGTTAGGTTAGGCTAGGCTAGGTCATCTGGGCCCCCAGTCTCAAAATCCAGTAATACTATGTCCCTTGATGATCCCACTTCATGCAACTCCAATGATGCAATACAGCCTGACTGCTTGGATATGTAAAAAACATTTCATCGCATTCTTGTTACTTCATTCCCCACATTTTTATGGTTCTTCATGCACAGGAATGTTGTGACCATGCACCCATAACGTGGCAATGGCCCTGGGGTCTGGTTGCTGCGTGTTTGCAGCGCTCAGATCTTCACTATTATAACTATTTAAGTTTGCAGGTAAGAGTATAGATGTACCTGTTTTATGATCATTTACAATATGTTGTGCCTTAAAAATGACAATTGATGTACAATGCTCTTTTTTAACATTAGATACCAATGTAAGCCTAAACTGACCTTTCAGGTTAGAAAGCTGACAGTGTTAGAAAACTTGATGTTCCCTGGTATAATGTATACCAGGAGGTTTTGTACTCCAGGATTGTGACCAGGTAAAATGAAATATTTTGTACTCCATCATGATGCAACAAGAGCAGCTTCTGTAAAAACTCATTTCACCTCTGTGTCCGGACAAAGTAAAACCAGAAGGTGCAGCAGCTTGAGACTTGCTGCTCCAATCAGGAGCCATGTAACGCCTCCCAGCTCAGGTTGGAGGTTGAACATAGCAAAACTCTCCAATTGGTTTTAATGATTTGCCTTCTTGTGACTGATTTGTCAAGGGCATGAATATTCTGCTCAAGCTCATGCCTTGAACAGATTAGTAAACCTTTGGAGGGAAACTGTTTTGAGATGGGCATCATGATTATGAAGGACTTCTTTGTACTCATCCAGAACTGCCATGTGGTTGGATTTTTGGCCACTTACTGGTACCTGGAGTACAAAAATGTTATGGCAGCTGTGATTTTCAACCAAGTTAAATATGTCACTTAAGGGTAGATAATTAAAGCTGATAATTCAGGCTTTACAAAAATACCCTTTTTAGTCAAAAAAACATTGCCACAAATAGCCAAAAAACTGTTTGCAGACAGCCATCTAACTCCTGCAAAAACGCTAGGACACCAGAGTAACACAAACCGATAACTTTGACCCGGCAAATTAAGGAGAGGGGTTTATTGGGACAAAAACATCAATTAATTGTGACAAATTATCACATTTTGCAATGATATTGGTTAAGGCACATCAAAATCCATGAATAACTTGCATTATTCGCCAGTCAGCCGAGTGACCGACTCCGATCCTTTTTTGCCGGCGCACACCAGTCTGTCAGGCATTGTTCTTGTGCAGGCTGGGTAAATCGGTTAAGAGTGCTGCCTGTCTATTGTTGGGGTGGGACGTGCAAGGCCTCATGTGTTGACCGAGAGTGGGAAGGTGGAGGGCATGAATGTTTAGCTGTTTTTAAAACCAGTTAGCTGGTGGAGCGTGAGTAGCGTCATGGTGGTGGAGCATGAGTAGGTGGCCTGTCACCTTGGCCCAGTACATTTTTATGGTTCTTGATGCTGCTTGATGCGCAGTAATGTTGTGACCACGTGCAGTAATGGCGCCGGTGTCACGGCTGCTGTGTGTGTGCGGCACTGGGAGCTCACCATCGTAATCATAAAAAATTTGAAGGTAAGAGCATGAATCTACCTGTTTGGTGATTATTTACGATGTCCTGCCTCAAACGACAAATGGTGTACAGTTATTTTTTCTAATGTTAGGTAGGAAAGTACACTGACCTTAAAATATCTTGCAAAAATGGCTCTCTATGCAGCAAAACTAATGGCAACTGCACCAAACTGGTATGCTCAGAATAACTGCAAACATGCACCAGTATTGTCACCCTGCTAACACTGATTCTCCAGACTTGTTTGCTGTAGCAATCATTTTTTGTAGTCTAGTTTAGGAGCAGTTGCCTGCCCGTCCTGATCAACTGCCTTTGCCCAAGCAGGTCAATTAATTGTGAAATCCTCCCCTTGCTTTGAAGATAGTGCAGGGAATAGGGAATAATGGGTCAGGGTATTACCACATTCTGATGGACACCAACATGCTAAAATGTCGATGGGTGTTTAGAAACCACAACACCCAAGCACCTAATGTGGTGAAACAAGTCAGTAACTTACTTTAGACTTGAAATGGAGTTGGAGCTCATGTTGTGATTCATTGCAGCTGGGCTTGGTCGAACCTCAGTCATCTTGCTTTTACTCAAGTACGCACACTGCTCTTGCACATTAATATCAAGCTTCAAGAATCAGCCTCTCGATTTTTAACAACGCAGATGGTCGAGCCGCGCCGATAACGGTCCCTGGGAACCCGATCTGTAAGCAAAAGGTACGACGTCGTTGGCAGGGATATTTACATTTCGAATGGGGCCAGATACACTGGAATTCACCATAGTCTAGCCAAATCGTACCGAAGAGAAATACCTTTTCCAATAGCTTCACAGTCAGCACATTTCCGCACATTAACCCCACAAGTCCAACCGGCAACCCTGGGCACTCATCTCCCTGGCACCGGATATCCAACAATTGCGATAGCAAAATAGTATGAAAACTGGTCTAAAATCTAGAGGAAAGCATGTGGGCCATGAACGCTTCTTTCAGAAATAACACTAATCTAGTATGATGAGTAGTGTTCTAACATAGAAAAGTTAGATTCACCGCAAATATAATGGTCTCATCTTGCAAAAATTTCCAAAAGGGGTTTTCTTTTAAAAAATAGTTTCAGCATGAAGTATAGTTTTATTTCATACTAGTAAATGCAACTGCAAAGATGGCCGAACGTGACGAATGAGTAAAAAGGAATTGTGCGACGAACGCGATGTTACTGCTTGTATTAGGGAATCAACTGTTCATTAGACAGCTCGGACGATTTCATATAGCTACCGGTCTCGGTAAAATTATCTCGTCGGAAGAAGAACATGACATTAATGCATTGAGCGCAAACAAATAAGTTTCCCCTTACCTCCCGAGAATCCGCCAGTAAATACGAGGCGGCGGATTTTGATCATGCAAATGGGCAGAAACGTGCTATTCGATTATGGATGCGACACAACAGCTAAATGGAGTGTTGGCAGTAGCCAAGTATTTAATTGTCTTAAGCAACGCTTGCGCGAGGGTGGAGTTTCGTAAAATATGGGGGGGGGCGAGGCCTATATTTGAAAAAGAAAGGATGATCACAGAAGAAATCTTAGGCCCCGTATTACACGCTTTTAGAGTGAGCGTTTCGGTGTCATTCGACGGGGCGGCTCCATATTGATGGAAGGGCACCGCAAAAAGATCCTGATGTGCTTGTGCACACGCGCCCCTACAGGAAGGTGAACGCCGGGGTTCGGAGGGGGGGGGGAGAGATTGGACCACGGTGGACTGTCGCCCAGCGCGTATGAAGTAGTTACTTGCGACGTCATAGGTAACAAACCAGGTAGGTATTTTGCCAATGAGGAACATGTCCCTGGTCGCCTCAACTTACGACGCCCATCACGTCAGTTTATCAACAGAGAAAGTCCATCAGCCCAACGTAGAAAAAGCAAACGTGAAATGTTTGGAGACCATGATTGAAATGAGACTGCTGTCACAGTCAGGCGGAAGGAGCTTTAGCCTTCGCTTCTTTCACGTTGAGGAGACAGTGAATCAAATCCGGAGAGAAACCAGTGTGCTGGTTTATTTCGGGAACGTCTCCCTGCTCAGCCTACACGCCCCCCCTCAGCCCGCATCCCTTCCGTCCAAACGCATTTTGCGAAACTATACCTGAGATATGACTGGTTCGACTTAGCCGCAAGTTGCGTTACGTCTGCTACCTTTTTTATGATAAGCAACGGCATATCATGCGTAATGATCGGACAGAACATGCATCGCAAAGGAACTTCGGTGCGTGGTTTTACTCCCGTGCTTATGCGCATAACCACGGGATGGACGGAGGAGAGCACATGGTGTAAACCTCAATCCCTATGAAACCTTACGAAAAAATGGCCTAACAACTAAAAGACATGTTGCGGAAAACAAATAATTCGAAAACGTCGAATTTCCGAAGAAGCTCAAGTCTTCTCGGCCATGGTCTCCATCGTTCCGTCTTCAGACGTTCAGCGGTAACAAAAACCTAAACTTACCTAAGCAGCCATCGTGCGGGGAGCACTCTTGCGCTGACAAACGAAAGCACCAACTCGTGCCCTCACTCACCAAGTGAATGGCGCACTGGTCTGCTGCCCCGCCTGGGCCAGACGTCACGTGACCCAGCACCGCCCGCGGCATGGTTTGCGAATGGCTTTGGAGCGGGACAGACTACCTTGCGGGGGCTGTATCAACGACCCACGCGGGATTAGCACCAACCATCGGTCTGAAGGGCAGCGGATTCATGGGAGGCCAGGCTTGTGGTCTGTGGGAGGCCGCTGAACCTGTGGGAGACCAGACTGGCCTCCCATTGGCGCTCCATGCAGATGCTTAAGGTGCGATAGCTTTCAACCTGGACGTGAGACAGGCGAATTCAGCCGGACTACCGTGGGTGCACGAGACGATTGCCTACTCACATCTTGTCGAACTGAGCTGCATGTGTGTGGTTTTTGCGGAGGGCGGGGGGGGGGGGACGTCTGCCGTGGCCAGACTGAGCACAGCACGTACTCTCAAATATGCGTGATGGGTGTCGCTCCTGGATTTACTTTGCACGTCTTAAATGCCCCGCTCAATTCCTACGAGAGATGTAAAGCACGCAAAAGCAAATGAACAACCATGTATACAGGCAGCAAACATTCACCTAGGGCGCTGGTGACGTTCGACCTCTCCAAACTCAGGGAGTACGCCGAGGGGAGTCCAAAGTCGAGTGAAACACTGCTCAAATAGCCCATCCAGTGCGTGCGTGTTCCGCCACTACACCGGCCCGAGGACCCGTCCAGCGCTGCGCTGGTGTCCATCGGGTTGCCACCGCCATACCGCGGCACTAGTTCGACCGGTGACGTAGCGTCCACGACGGCCAAGTAAGCTCCATGCCTCTGTTCACTAAACGCATGTATTCACTAGAGCTGGGGGACGGTGCGCGCGATCAGACCGTTCATGTACAGTGCCAGCAAGCGGGGGAACACGTCCGCGTTGTAGCCGTCCAGTCGGGGCCGGCCGGCCTCGTAGCGGCACACGTCGTAGAGGGCGGCGGCCGGCTCGGTCCAGAGCATGTTCTTCGGCTGGTGGCGCGTGCTGACCTCTCCGCTGGTCGGATCGGGCAGCGCCAGCGTGTTGAGCTGCAGCACGGCCGGCTTGACCAGTCGGCCGTCGGTGGTCACACACTGCAGCACCACTGGCCGGCTTGGCTCCGCCTGCCGGCAGGCACGCACACGAGCACGACTCAGTCGGCAGCCAGGTGCGGGGAAGCGGCCGGGGGTGGTCACACACTGCAGCACCACTGGCCGGCCTGGCTCCGCCTGCCGGCAGGCACGCACACGAGCACGACTCAGTCGGCGGCCAGGTGCGGGGCAGCGGCCGGGGGTAGTCACATACTGCAGCACCACTGGCCGGCCTGGCTCCGCCTGCCGGCAGGCACGCACACGAGCACGACTCAGTCGGCAGCCAGGTGCGGGGCAGCGGCCGGGGGTAGTCACACACTGCAGCACCACTGGCCGGCCTGGCCCCGCCTGCCGGCAGGCACGCACACGAGCATGGCTCAGTCGGCGGCCGGGTGCGGCGCAGCGGCCGGGGGTGGCCAGTGAGCCGCATCACCCGGCGCCGGGGAGTGCCAAGGACAATGCCAACTACGCCCGTCCGCCCCTCAAACAGAGCCTGTTGCCAGCAACGTATGGAAACTCAGCAATCGTCTCCTCTTCCGCCCACTTAACACGTACTTCGTGTCTGTTCAACGTATCCACTCAATGCTACGTGCTCTACCGGGGACATACCTGACTTCCACTCATGTCTCCTTTGTAGCCAACGTTTTTTTTTCAAACCAAACCCCCTTGAACTCACTCCCAAACCAAATCCCTCTGAACCACCCCCAAACCCCTTCCACTCCCAAAGCTACTAAAAAATATCCGCCATCCGTGATCTGGTTAGTCAGTCACGGTGACACGAGACCTCCTGCGGTCCGATTCATACACGCATTTCTACCAATTGCAGCCTGTTACGCAATTCGCACCAAATGCGGTGTACATCAGCATGTATACGGTTGTGTCAAAGGCAACCGCGCACTTAGCGTGAGTTCGATGAGATGCGATGAGACGTTCGATGGGCGGTCCAGCGTATAACATCCTTTGATGTGTAAGACAGTAGTATTATCCTTATTCCTCGGAAAAACCAGGAGAATACAGATATAGTTAGGTTGATATTTCGGCAACATGCGTTCTCGAAACAATAACAGAAGTGAATTCAAAATTGCTTGCCGATGATCGATGATGATCGTTGTTATAGGGCCTCGGATGATCCCACTCGATTTTTCGTTTTTGTTTTTTTGAAAGAGCAAGCGACAGTTTTTACAGGATGCCAACATTCAGGGGATTAAGCAAGGAGCGATTGCCAGCCATTACCAGGGTACAGTGCCTACCTAAGAATTAGAATGCCCGGACATATGTGTGCATGCAAACGAATTCAAGCAAATAGGCATCACGCATCACGCTTGAATTCGTTTGCCTGTACACGTATGTCCGGACATTCTAATTCTTAAATAAGCACTGTATCTTATTAATGGCTGACAATCGCTCTTTGCTTAATCCCCTGCATGTTGGTGCCCTGTAAAACTGTGGCTTGCTCTTTCAAAAACAAACCTTGAAAAATCGAACAGGATCAGCGGCAAGCAATTTTGAATTCACTTCTGCTACTGTTTCGAGAAAGGCACGTTGCCGAAATATCAACCAACTATATCTCTATTCTCCTGGTTTTCCCATGAATAAGGCTAATGCGACTGTCATATCTATGTGACTAATGTTCCTCGCTAATGCACTGAACAACTTACATAACCCTTTGATGTGGCACAATGTTTGGTATTTGGCTCTCAGCAAAATGGCAAGCCGACCCGGACGACACGGCAGAATCGTGACATCACGTACAAGCCATACCGGCATGGCTCCTCCACAATCCAAAGTTGGAGGGGCACCAAATATTTGCAAAACGTTTCGTTCCACAAAATGTTATAGGCGCATTGCTAAATTACTATACAAACTGAGACGGGCACTCTGAAGCTGCGGGTTTGGCCAGGGACATGCACATTTGTCAAAGAGGCCTCACAACCTGAGCGAGTGCGACGACCTAGCTTAAGGCCCAAAATCCGCCTTGCTGTCGTGCTTCGCTCACTTGCAACTATAAAAGACCCCATTTCAGATCACCACAGGTCTCTTGAGCCTCAGCTGATTATGGGGATTACACGTCTGGGGATCACGTAAAAATCGTTCATCAATGCGGGATTTCAATTTCTCAAAACCCACCAAAATACAGATTTGGGCGTTTCGGGGGCGCCTGGAGGGGATCAGGGAACCCAATTCTTCAAGGAGACGACCGCCTCTTTTTCACTTCTCCGTTTGGCAACATTCTTGGCCGATGACCCCGTAGCGGGACCCGTGCACGTAGTCTGGCGTCACTGTTCGCACCTTAAGCATGCGAACGGCCCTTTCACACAACGGCGCGTTCGTTATGACGTCAGACCCATTCAGCACGAACTGGCCTTAAAACGTAAAATCGCACGACCGTATTGCTTGTCTGATGTCTGCTTTCCAAAGCTAGTTAACCTCTGGTCTGTAACAGCATGGGATTGGCCGTTATCGGCGCAGCTGCCGCTACGCTGTGCCACCGTCTCGGGTAAGGAGATGGACGACACTGACCTGCTGCCGGGCCATGTTGAGCGCGGCCGCGTACAGGCACATGAGCGACAGCGCCCCCAGTTGGTCATCGTTGACGTACTTCTCCAGTCGTCCGTTCCAGCCGATGAAGAGCGTGTGCACGTGACTGTGGCGACAGTCGGCTGCCACCGCTGTCAACGGGGGGCCACCACTGAGGACGCCGTCGCAGCAAAGGGAGGACAGGGCGAACACAACACACTGGGGAAACGGTCGGGAGGAGGTCCCCGTCCATGGGCATTAGGCTAGCTCTAACAGGAGCATCCCGATAGTGCTGGGGGCGTTAACAGCCCACATCATCTGGTGGTGTTCGTAACCGCATCTGCTTTTTCATCCACATGAAGCGTGCCATGCCGCTGGGAACGCTCCCATTCATAGCACCGATTACACCTGTGGGTAGACCAACTACGATGGGTACATGCAGAACAAAAAAGCGAAACAGGAGTAGCGATAACATGTGATTACGGATATCGACGCTTGTATTATGTCATCTTAATAGAGTACATTATTTCTGAAGTAAATAAGCGGAAACTCCAGAAGGCGATCAGCCTTATCACAATATAAAATCAGTTGCAAGAGAGAAAATCGGAGGAAAGTCAATCACCAGAAGAAGTCCTGTTTTACTGAAAACATTCCAACACGAACTGAATCATCCGGCTTTATCACAACTAATATCCCCGACAACCCGATGGCCGTGCCGGGTAGCGGCGGCGGCGGCGGCGGCGGCGGCGGCGGCGCCCGTGGCCGGCTCGACTCACGCGCCACGTCGCCCCAGTCGTACTGCCAGAGCTGGTGTAGGTGGACGAACGGACTGACGGGCGCCAGCTCCGGCGCGGCCGCCGCCCGGCTGGCGTCAACGGCGTGCGGTGGCGCCACCGGCGCCAGCGGCCGGTCGGCCAGCAGCGCCAGCTCCTGCCGCCGGGCCAGCACCAGCCGGTGACCGTCCGCCCTGTCGGCCACAGCGGCCTCAGTCAGCGCCGGCGCCGGCGCCGACAGGTCTCACGCGCACGCCTTCAACTGGTGACGCCAGAAGAAAATGTGGCGCTCTGAGCATCAAGATGGAAGGCTGGAGCCATTACATGTGGCCTAGTGCGAGGGTTATAAAAATGCAATTGCGAGCTAAAGTGAATTGGGATTGTATGAATTTAACATGCGATTCGTGTGCTTGTAAACGAAGCTGAGCTCGTGTCAACCCACGTAATTGGACATGAGTAACAATTCTGGCCCCAGCGACAGGGATCAGGAGCCCGGCCAACACGGGAAACTCGGGTCAGAGGACTGTCGGACACAAGGAGCTGTGGTGACAGGCCGACCATCACATGGGGCTCGGGCACATCACGGAGACAGTAGCTGTGGTGACAGGCCGACCATCACATGGGGCTCGGGCACACCATCACGGAGACAGTAGCTGGAATACGACAATGATCAACACGCCCCCTGGCATGGAAATGGAGTGACCAGCACCGACGGGCAAATACGTACATGGGACACAAAACAAAACAAAATGGCAAACGTTCGTACCCAACCTAGCTGCTCAAAAAAACACAAAATATGCTAGAGACATAAGGTTTTACTTAAAGCGCTTCTTGCTACTCCAGCCTCTACATGGCGCCTGGCTGGGCGATTGGACGCCAGGGAGGCGAAAGTACCGACTCTCCAGCTGATGTTTCTGCTTCTTGCTGATAATTCCATCCATATCCCATGTACACTCGGACGGCGAGATGAACACCGTCACGTCCACGCCCCACAACCCAGTTCTCACGTGACGTTGGTGGCCCTCAGCAATGGCTTGTAGAGGACCATGCGTGATTGGTATCCACCCAGACGAGAGGCGAGTCTCTCGCAGAGGCCCAGCAGGCCAGCGAGCAGCGACAGCCTGGAATAGTGGCAGTCCGCTCAGCGCGAAGGGGGAGGGCAATCACTGCGTCCGCTCGGCGCGGGGAGAGGTCACTCACGGCGTTCGCTCAGCGCGGGGGGAGGGCATTCACGGCGTCCGCTTAGCACGGGGGGAGGGGAGGGGCACTCACGACGCCCGCTCAGCGCGAGGGGGGAGGGCACCCACGGCGTCCGGTTAGCACGGGGGGAGGGGCACTCATGACGTCCGCTCGGCGCGGGGGGGGGCACTCACGGCGGTCCTCTCAGCGCGGGGGGGGCACTCACGGCGGTCCTCTCAGCGCAGGGGGGGGGGGGGGGCACTCACGGCGTCCGCTCGGCGGCCACCGCCGGCCAGGGGCGTCGCAGCTCAGTGTATTTCAAACGTGACTACCAGCGCATTTCCAGGTATTACGAACGTGATACAAGTGCATTTCCAAGTGTTACGAACGTGATACCAGTGCATTTTCAGACGACCTAAGGCAGAAGGGGATAGCACGCAAACCGAGCGATGGCCTAGTTTGGTTCACTTCAGTATCAAATTGCTTAGTGAATGCGAACAAACGCGCGTGCATCGCGCTTACACAGCGACAGGGATCTCGGCGTGCACAGCGTGTCATGCGAAGAAGCTGTCTATCTATATAAGCTAAGCGTCATGAAGCTGTCGAACTCGGTTCGCGCCGGCAAGTGAGCTCAGTGCCAAACGCACAGTGCACTGAACTTCAGCTACAGACGCAGCTTAGGCAGTGGTTCCCTTGGGCCAGGAAAGCTATCACAAAATGAGCATGGCACATCATAAATAAAGACATTCTCCATTCACAGATAACCAATGGACAGCAAACGGCGATGCCCGTGCCCCCACAAGCTGATCTTGACGCTGGTCCTATCCCCACTGGTGACAATAACACATGGCAGTGAATTTGAATTTAGCAAAAGACATGGTCACGGCTAGCACTTACAACACTTCAGGATACGTTCAGAAGGACGAACAATAGGAACTGCACTTTGCATTGGACCTTACAGGGAGTCGGCAAAGCTTGTCACTGCGCTTACCTTGATCTGCTCCCGGGTATGCCGTACTGCACGGGCTGTGGCAGGCCTAGGCGCGTGACATCAATCATCTTGGCCAGCTTCTCCTGGGTGGCGTCGAACATGAGGGACGTCTTAATGACCCTGCAAACAGAATACATGTGAATCAGGTACAATTGTTGTGTGAACACCAAACAAAGACCAGACAATCACACACTCACACCTCTGCCAATGATGTAAGCAGTGCAATTCATTCATTAAATGCATTTGAAGGAGTCCGGCCATTTATCTTAAGTGCAGAGTCCACAAGCCCATTGATGTTACAAATCTCTTCCTAACTGATTTTGTCTTCGTACTGATGTCCGATAAAACGCGAAACACAACAATCAGAGCTTCACCTAGCGATTTCCATTGTCTATTTGTTTAACTGCAGGACTCACGTCTGCCCGCAATAACAAAACATTCCACTGGCAAGTACATCACCTAGTGTGACAAATGTCTGGGCATATGGAGCGGTACCATCAGTCTTTACTCTAGGAGATATGTACAGCAATCTCGATCATCACTGCCAACTGAGTGCAGCATTCATATGTGTAAGACGCCGGATGACGCCCGTTCAGCACTCACTCTGCAACCATTTCGTCCTGGTTTTTCAGCCGCTCCAGCCCCTCCAGCGCCACGATGCGCTCTGGTAAGCCTTCGCCGACCCGGATCGTGTTGGTGATGGCCTGTAATGACAAACACCGACAGCTCAGGGAAGCAGCTACTCGTTCTGAAAATGTCCGAAAGTTTGTGACTAATCTCGGCAATAGGGTCGGAACAGCATCATCGAGAGGCACTTAAATGTGGCAAGTCATTCGACTATCATCTACATGTGACGCATCAATGCATTGCGCATGGTGGTATGTGAATAAATAAGCGAGGCGAGGCGGGTGACAAATAAAGCGCAGACCAATGGCGTAAATTTTTCATCGAGCATCCGTGCTGGGACCTGGCAGCAGCAGCTCCCCTCCCCCACCAACATCCACAACGAATGCCAAGCGACGAGCAACTACGCCTGAAAGCAGCACCAGAAATGTGAGCACGAGAGCCACCCACCTGAGCCTGCTGCAGTCCCATGATGAGGTTTCTGCCCGTGTAGACGTAGGCGGGCGTCTCGTGCTGCGGCTGCTCCGGGCGCGGGTCCGCCAGGTGCTGCCGGGACCGGCGGCTGGGCTGCGACTCCCACTTCGGGGTCTTCACGCTGCTCTGCGGGGCTCGTGCGGGGCTGACAAGGACAGGAGAAATCAGACCCAGCTTTGAGACACATAAAACGACAGCAAAAAAAGAGTCAACCAAGAAGCAAAAGGTTGAAGTGTAAGTTGCTGACCACGAACAAGATGCAGAAGTTATAAGGTGGCCTAGCAACATAGCTATGGGGCATCATGTGGTACAAGTGCAGCCAGACAGTATTTGAAGTCAAGATGCTACAACACACAATACCAACTGATGTCTGATCTATTTGGTGTCCATACAGTTAAAATGGTCTCTGATAGAACTACAGCAGTTCTTTCATGTCTGCATAGTAAACGTGACAATGAAAACACCCACTCACCTCATCTGGCGTGCTTTCCATTCAACACCAAACAGCTCTACAGCATCATATACTTGCTTTCCGCTTGCTTCGAGGATTGAGCGTAATTTCGCGTTCGAGATAGTAACATCTTTTTTGCCTTTCCACTTGTCATTGAACCACCGACCTAAGAGATGCTTGTTCAAAACCTGTGTAAGCCTCATGCTGAAAAGGGAGCATAATGAAGCTGATTGTTTTCTATGAATAGTAAATGCCCTTGTGAAACACCACTGGGCCAATGTTTCAGCTTGCTGGAACCAACAGATTGTGTGGAATGCAATGGAGATGAGCAGCCTCACAGCACAGATAAGAAGCATCACACTTACTAGGTCTGAACAACCCATGCCTCTGAACTGTGTACCAAACCCAACATGCCACATAGTGACATTGATCGCTACTGGGCTGACAAAGTGTACATCACATTAATCTGTGTGCATGAAACTCTCATACACAAAATGTGCATGCTCTTTGCATGTCTGTCTGTACATGCATGTCCATACTTGTTCTTTGTCTGCAAAGCCTGCACATAAATTGTGGTAACCATATATATATATATATATATATATATATATATATATATATATATATATATATATATATATATATATATAATGTGTGTATATATATTAATACACAACTATTGGCATCCACACAACATTTTATCCTCACATCTATGTATCCACATAACCATAACCTTGTATACAAGTCTTATCATCTTTATTGGCACATACCCTTCACTCATCTAGGACACACTCCCTCTGTCTTCGCAGAGTCCTCGTAATGCATTCCTTCCCAAATGTGTTGACTTGTATCACATTTAATGTACATAAATGTTCAACACCCCATCATCAAAATTATTATTTGTTGTCATCATGCATGACTCTATGGTGCTAGCGCACGATGTGACTCTCTGAACATTACCTGAAATGGTACTTTTTATCCCTGGAGCCAGTTGAAGAAAGGACTTGGTCAATACTGGGTGGGCAAATGAAGTGCTGAAGCCACAGCCCTGATAGTCCTGAATCTGAATGTTTCTGTCATTTAATGGTGGGCATGTAAGTGTGTCTGAACCTTCTACCTTGAAATGCTATTGGTTTCCACTCATGAATGCTTATATCATGTTATGGATCACTTAGGAAGACATGAGCCAATTCCCATAAAGCATCACTTCCCTTCCATGCCCTGCAGGGAGGGCTTTCCATGGAGTTTGGGGAGAGTATTCATTGAATTTGCTCCTATCCTAATGCTGTTCCTGTCTCCTTGACTTGTTAAATGCTGACAGCAGTCTGCAAGGCTAAGTGGTGTCAGCCAGGTGCATAAGCAGTATACTAGTGCTTAATGTCACTTTAACCCAATATATTCCAACCCTTACTGACAGGGCATAGGCTTGATTTTGGCTATGACCTTCATCACCTTGAAATGCCACTTTAAACTGACTCATCCCTCAGAAGCCAATTTTTATGGAGTTGCTTCTAGAAACACCAGTACAGGTGATTATGTTCTATGGCAATTGTGGCAGCCTTAACAGGACTAGCATTTATATAACAACAAAACTATATGCTTTCCTTTGTTTCACTTCATGGAAACATAAGTTCTCAACCTAAGAATATTTAATGCTGCCTAAATTGCTACTGCCGACTCACTGGTGCAATGGTTTACTCAGCTATGACTCTGACTTGCAAGATTATTCAAAATAATAAATTGTGCACTGGCCCAATGAAAAATGAGTTGATTAAGAATGCAAACTTTAGTAATAAGATATCAAGTACTATGCATGTAGCATGCAACACCCATTGTTGCATACATCAGGAATGGAGTAAAAACAGCTGCAACTATGAAGGGAAATGTGGTATGCAATATGGCATGACAAGCATTGCTAAGAATTTCTGTACATATAATTGATAACCGCAATTGTGTGCAAAAAAGATGCTGGAGAGTATGTTACAAAGCATTACTTCAGCAACTGCATGCACAAAGTCTTGCATGGAAAACATTTGGTATGACAAGGTTTTGCATTATGAAGACGTTCATCCAAAGAAATGATGGGCAATAAAGTAGAAGTGGAAGGAAACTGTCTGCATGCAGAAATCATATAAAAGTATGCTGTGTAACCAGCCGGCTTTACACTAAATGATGAACATCTTCATATTTAACTGTAAGCAGTTTACACATGAACTTCCAGCACATCAGACTTGTTTGATTCTTATGAAATTGTTTCAAAAATCCACTTATTACTCATTATAATGCAAAAAATGAGGATAATATTGTAGCCACAAGTACCTTCCCATACTAAAATCTGGCTTAGAATGTTGCTTCCAGTGGCAAGATGCTAAAAGAATGTTTATGAATGTCTTTGCCAATTAGCTGCATTTTGACATGCCACACATACAATTGTCAAATCATAACAATTGCCTACTTAAAGACCTACAATAACCTTGAAACATGACTTATTGGATGATGTGGTGAGTACAGCCAACAGGGTTGTACCTTTGCCTTCCTGAAATCCTGAAGCTTCAATATTCCCTATGTCATTGGGCAAAAACAATGAAAGCATACCATTCACTGCAACTTTTTACTACCATCCATGACAGCAAGGTCCTATGCATTCTTTTGAGCTTATGAAAGTGCAATACAACATTTAAACCCATTTCCATTTTTGTTAATTAATTAATGAGTTCTTGATATTATTGTTTTTTGCACAAATTTCAATGCGACTTTTGGACAGACATAACATTAACATGCACCCAGGTGGCCAGCTGGATACCCTTTGCTAGGGTGGGTGGGGGTAAATTTGCCCCTGAGATCTCAGGAACTAAGAGGGCTAGAGACACCATATTTACAGGGTACCTTAACCTGCATGTAAACTCACTTAAGTCAAAGTGTGAGGTTCCTAGGTCATGACTTTAGGGTTCAATAAGGTCAAATAAGGTCAAATCCAGGTTGGTCTCTGAAGTGCCTCTGGAACCTAGATAACTGCTTCTAAGCAAAAGGTCACATGTTCATGTAAGGTCAGTGACCTTGTTTGACCTTTACAAGGTTATGGTGACAAAAAGCATATGACTGCTCTAAGTTTTGCATTTGAATACACAACAAAAATTACACTAGGCAGTATGGTTCTCAAAAAAAATCCTCCCTTGGTCATTTAAAGTTCATAACCTATTCTAACATCTAAAAAGTCCATGGAAGATGTAGAATGTGCCATCAATAACTTTGAAATGAGAACCAGAAACTATCCCACATAGCAACCCCTAGAGTAGTAAAACAGGTTGGTTTTGACCTTGGCCTGACCTTCATACCTCATCTTAAGTCAATGTAATTTGCTCATTCAAATGTTATTCTGCCTAAGAAAGCATCTTAGAGATGTATGGCTTTGTCTAACACTCCACTGTTGCATCAGATTGAACAATACCCTCAAGATTGACTTTGCTGAAATTGTGGCCTGACTCTGACCTAACTAAGTCAACAGCCTTATGAGGTACATCTAAACTTCTGGCACCATATGACCCACTATTCAATTGTCTGCAGCTATGCACAATTTGGTGTAGCCATGCCATGCCATTTGAAAACCATTCTGGAAAAACCTTCAGGGAGAAGGTTCAATTTAACCCCCCCCCCCACCCAAGCTTGTGTTAGAAGAATACCTGAATGCAAAGAGGGAGCATTATTGACCCATTCCTGATTACTCATTTCCAAACACCTGGCAAGACGTCCATCTGCGACCAAACTTACCTTATCTAGATAAAATTTACAAGTTCTCTTGTCAACTCAGTGAAAAATTCTATTCAGGTGTGACACGTCCGAAAAAATAGTGGCATAACTACACAAAGCCGTAGATGACCAAAAGTTGAATGCACGTCCCCAGTCCCCAGCGCCCAAACTAGGTAAACGACGCATGGAGAAGAGAAGAGGATAGCAGAATCACGCTGAAAGCGGTGCGTTGCGCCACGGAGAACGCCCGAAGAGCGCAGTTTTTGGAAATATTTGCTCAGCTGCGAAGACCTAGCTGAATTCTCAAACAAAAAGGTGCATTTGGAAACAAAAGGAACAGATGACTACATAAAAAGACGACTCAAAACTTTTCAGTATAGCTAATACGAACACTTTCTAAGTGTTTTAGCTCGCAAGATAATTTTTTAAAAGGTTATAATGGCAATACTTTGATAAATACAAATCAATATAAGAGCAAAATGAGCTACTTCGTGCAAAGTATATTCGACTAGTGATATCAGCTTCATGGCATCAGCACGTAAGTTGTTCAGTGCATTAGCGAGGAATATTACTGACATAGATAAGACAGAAGCATAAGCCTTATTCCTCGGATGAAAGCCAGGGAAATGGGGATGTAGTTCGGTTGGTGTAACAATAGGCTTCTGCTATTGTTTCGCTCAGGCATGTCGCCGAAATATCAACCCAGCTATATTTCCATTCTCCTGGTTTTTCTCCGCGGAACAATGCTACTACTGCTGTCTTGGCGCATCAGCATGTACGTCTGCTTCTGGTTTGAGCGTGAAACATGGCAACCCAAATTTCCATTACATTTCACCCTATGTGTTCTAATGCCTGCCTTTCACGCGAGCCAACACATCCACGAGGATATTTAGTACGAATATGTTCTAAGAGAGGAACAGTATTTAGTACCGATTTTTCCTAAACCTACAGAAATACTGTTCCCCTCTTGGTGAGTATTCGTACTAAATATTTTCGAGGATATGCTGCCGAAGAAAGTTTGTTGCCGGAAGATCACCGTGCGTGGGGCAAGATCCAAGGCAAATAAACAGGCGAGGCCCAGCGCCTAGGGGTCGTCTGGAGGATTGCGGTTGCTTGTGTTAGGCCGGAAGGTATACGGAAAAGCTCACCTTGCATGAGGAGTATTGTTAAGATTTCAATACAGTGCTGACTGGTAGCATTCCAGTCATGTCAGGAAACTATTATTTTGCTATTGTTGGAGACAAAGATAATCCGATTTTTGAAATGGAAATATCGCCACCCACCAAAGAACCGAAGGTACGTACCAACCTAGCGGCCAAACTATGCATGCAGTTTTATGTTAATTGAAGGATGATTTTGTAGTTTTGGTGGATGAAAGAGATGTTAATACTTCGGTCAAACTAATTGTTCTAAATACCTCCTATCATCAGAGACTAATAGAAATGCTCATCCTGGGTTTTAGCTTTGTGAAGCCCATACCATAGCATATGTTTGGTCATTTCTTGAGTGGTAGCTCATTCATAATGCCTTTGTTAACTAGGCATCTGAAATAATTGGCTTTATCATATTGGAGCCAGCCATTCACCATCCCTTGTTCTGACCATATCACCCACAAACTACCCATCAAAGTCCCTGTGCAATGTGAACTGAAGTTCATTACATTCCTCTTCAATTTTATGTATTTAAATGTGCTTTGCAAACCTTTGCCTGTATGAAGCTCTGCTTATGACTTTTACATTACAAATGGCTCATATTGGTTGTGAAGGCCTCATCAGCATGGAAGCATATTACTTCTTTAATGTGGCAATTTTTAAAAAAGATATGTCAAAATAATTATACCTTACCTCACCTAATGGTGATCAGGAATTATAAAGGACCACTAGGCCTGTAAGTTCCGGTCTTGTCAGGCTCCGGGTCTGGTAACCAGTCTCAAATTATGGGAAGATTCAGTGTGGGATGTCATACATGATGTCAGCCCAGCTCATATCAAGCCTAGACTTGAACTGTTCAACTGAGGTCGACAAGGTGACAGGGTGTGGAAAAGTGTTCCAATCGTTGACAACTGGTGTGCTGAATGAGTTACAATGGACGAGAGTCCTAGCTCCAGGTTTTCTGAGCTTCCATTGATGTCCTCTTGTCATCTCCTAGTTGTGCTTTGTCAGGAACTCCTCTTCCCACAGTGGCATACCTCTGTGAAACAGCTGGTACACTGTTGCCATGTCTCCCCTATGACGATGATAGTAGATAGTACAGCAGGTGCAACTGAAGGAGTCTGAGCCTCTCAGGGTGTGGCTGGTGCCTCACTTCATAGACCAGCTGGGTACCGTGGCCGGGGACCAGCTCGTCGCTGAGCCCGTTCCAGCCCTTCCGGTCCAGTTTGACGAACGGGCCTCAGATGACGTTGCCCGGCTCAAGCACCGACGTACTAAGATCTTACAGAGCAATGGCAACGTGCGAACATCGATGTTGGCAAAAGACCGCCTCACGACCCCCAGCATCTTGTTGGCCTTGGAGATTACTTCCGTCGTCTGCACGTGCAACTGGAGCCGATAATCCACGAAGATCCCGAGGTCCTTCTCGGTAGACTCGACCACGATTTCTGCGCCGTCCAAGAAGTAGATCAGCCCCGGGTTGCAGTTCCCGATGTGCATTATTTTGCACTTCGCTGCACTAAAGGGGAGCAGCCACTCCTTTGACCACCTGGCCTGGGCGTCGAGGTCAGCCCGCGGAGGTGAGTTAGTCAGGGGCCTCGGGACATGACAGTAGACCTTGGCGTCATCCGCAAACATCTTAGCCACGCTTTGCACTTGTTCTGGCAGATCATTCACGAAAATTATGAGCAGCGTTGGTCCAAGTACTAATCCTTGCGGGATGCCGCTGACGACATCGGTCCAGTCCGACTTCGAGCCTTGGACCAGCACTCTCTGCATCCGGTGGGTAAGAAAAGCCCCATTCCAGCGTAGCAAATTACCTCTCACACCGTAAGCATAAAGCTTGGAGAGCAGACGGTTGTGAGGCACAAAATCAAAGGCTCTGCTGAAGTCCAGTCCAGGTACGCCACGTCCACCGGCTCTCCATCCACTACCGCGGCGCTCCAATCCTCCATGACCTCTAACAGCTGGGTGATACAGGACCGCCTAGGGAGAAAGCCATGCTGGGCTGCATGAAGAAGTCCAGACTCCGAGAAGTGATTAAGTAAGACATCACGGACGAAAGTTTCAAGTATCTTGGAGGGAATGGCAGTAAGGCTCACTGGGCGGTAGCTCGCTGGGGATTGTCGGTTGCCCTTCTTGAAGATCAGGACTACCTCGCCAGGCTTCCACTCCAGGGGAGCCTTCCAGATGCTAAAGATTTCCGGAAAAGCACGATGAGGGGTGCTGCCAGGACATCTGCGGACTTGCGAAGAAGCCTTGGATGGACATCGTTTGGCCCAGTGGCGCTCGAGGTCTTCGGAGCATTTAATTTCTTTGCCACTGCCTGTTTAGAGATGTCCACGCCGTCCAGAAACGGTCCAGTAAGGCTGCACAGCAACACAGGCATGGCGCTAGTCCCTTCGTCCGTGAAAACACTGGCGAATAATGTACAGAGGACATTGGCCTTCCCTTCGTTACTGCTGATCAACACTCCGTCATCGTCAATAATGCCTTCTACCCTGCATGTTGTGCGTAGTCTTGAGTTGGCGTACCTCCAAAAGGCCTTGGGTTTCTTTTAAGGTCTGCTTCTAATTCCAACTGTTTCAGAAGGAAGATCACAGACATCTGAGCCAGTTCATCGCCCATGCAGCACTGGATTTGGTTGATGAACAGATGTGGAATACTTCATCAATGTACTTGAAGGTGAGCATCTTAACACATAAGTGCTTAAACAGTATCCATGATATTTCAACCCCAGGTGCTTTTTTTCTTCAAAGTTTGTATTTGATAAGTGGTCAAGCGGTGTCAAGCCTGTAGCAATTCCCTTGCTTGTGTTATATCAGAATGTGTTGTCTGACTTTGTAGCATTCAGCAATGTTCTTGTAATCATGTTAATATTGCATTGGCCTGCCTGGGTGTCAGTTATGATACAGGCCTTTGAAAGGCATGGTAATGGTAGATGCTCAATGAATGCAAACATGTGGGATGGGGGCTTCCGCGTCTCCGGCAGGTCGTGGACAAGTTCAACGAATGGTTTGTGTCGGCATTTGTGACTGCCTCTCGCATGCGGTTCGTTCTGCTGCACGACGTCAAAAACGAAGATGGGATCAAGAATTTCTTCCTTGAGATGTATGAAACGTATATTAAGGTACGAGTTTTATCAATTAAATTAATGTTATGTATTATTTTACTGGTTAGTGAGCTGTTGACACAGTATCTAGGCGGATGAAGTGGTTATTGCGTCCGTATTGGGTTGCACACGTGCTGCACCATCCCATTTTCAACATAATTTGAGTAGAAGCGTATTCATCTACCCATTTTTCGTGACCGTTTGTTCCAGCACTCGATGAACCCATTTTATGAGAACAACACGCCCATTAAGAGTTCTGCCTTCGACAAGAAGGCCCAGCTCTACGGACGGAAGTACCTGACCAGCTGATAGTTCCCTGGCTGCCTCTGTTTCCAGCTGTCCAGTCGCCTGGAGTCGAGGGGGAGGGGATGGGGGGGGGAGTAGCACCGGTCCCGTCTGCCACGATGCCAGCCGTGGCGACCAGAAGGGGCTGGGGGCGGGAGGTGGGGGGGGGGATGGGGTGTGACATGGCACCAAGATAGCGAGACTCCGTTAGTGCCGCGCTGCTAACAGACCCATTGTCAATGTGTCTGCCGTGCAGTGCTGGGCGGGCTGTTTCGTTGAAGCTAGCGGCTCCAGTTCGACAGGATGACGTAGTGAATCTATGCATCGAAGGACATCTCTTGCCGGACAGTGAATGATCTAACGCAAACACCTATCGATGCAGTGTCTAGGACAAATGATGACGCGGGTTTGGCCAGGGTGAAGCCTTTCGTGACGGAAGGTGTTTGGATGTTTCCTAGGATGCCAGTGTGCTGTGCGCCATTCGGTCAGATTTATAGGATTGTGCCTTTTGCGTCAAGGAGATAAACACCTGTCCTTCCCGCTGTGAACGTGGTGATTTGTGTGAATTTTATTGAGGAATAGTCGCATTTGTGTTATCATCGTTCAGGCCATGTGTTACCGTTCCTGGTCGCTTTCAAACAAAACTGACAGACGTTCTTAAACTTCCTCCCGTGTCTGTGTTCGGAAAACTCAGGCGGATAAACTCGGTGTTACATATTTGTCTGTTTTGCTTTAAACGAAGTACTGTTTGTGTTTATTCCCTGATGACATATTGTATACATTTAAAGAATACATTTAGAATGTAAACGTGCGTTATTTAAAACTTGGTCTGATTTTGATGCGTGCGCTTCTCAGCGAAATCCAGTTGCTCGCATCGAGCCGCGTCGTTTTGAGCCTGTTTCACGCGACACAGGCGTAGGAACGTTTCAAAAAGTGGGGGGGGGGGGCAAGCTCAGGGTGTACTGGAATGCAAGCCCGATGACCGGGGGGGGGGGGGGGGGTAAAGATGGAGTTTGTTATCGCTCTTTATTCAAATGTCATGACTCTTATGTTAGATATGCATCTAGAGCTGTTTCTCACAGGTGCACATTGTTGCCTGTTCGACTTATCTATGGAATTCGGTATATCAGGCTATCCAGCCTCCTAACATTAGTCGTCCATGTCAACATGTCAGCATCGTATTTCCTGGGGAGGCGAAATTCCACGTGCGGGTGGGCATTTTGGGTCATTGAGGAGGTATTTGCCTCCACAGGGTAGGTGCCAAATACGGCCTGGTCATAGACGGGCGAGAATTTTGAAAGTGAATCGATGGCTCACGGTGCGAAGGATTTTTCCTGCGCCCTCATTTCCCTGGCTGCTTCTCAATAGATGAGACTTGTTGCAGCATTTTGGGCGGAAACAAATTCGGAGGCTTGAAATTGCCAACAACAGGGTGTCAAAAGCCATGCAACTGGAGATTGATTTTAAAAACCAAGCCACATAATGAAGGCCTGTCTGTCATATATTCCTTACCTGAGCCCTACTCCCGTCCACCGTCGGTGGCCACTGCCCTGGCCCGGTTGTCTCCCGCGTGACTGATTGCGAACTGATCGTATGGCTGGTTTGTTGCATATTTCTGGATCAGCATTACTACTAATTGGTGTGTGAAACATGTGTTGATCGCCTGTAACAGTACCTTTTTCCGAATTATCTTCCCTTACACCATATCACCGTAGAAAATTAGCCTCCGGGAAGGTGCATGCCTTATGTATAGATTGGCCCAACGGACATTGCATTGCCCATCATTCAACGTAGGCGACTTGATCTACTTTTGCGTGTAGGCAGGGGCGTAGCCATAGCCTTGTCAAGGGAGAGCACAGGGTGGACAAAAGCTCCTCTTGGTGAGCCCCCTAAAATTCCTAGATATAGCTTACTTGCTAACAAGGGTCACGGCTTCTTTGTTTTATTGTTATTGTTACCTTGTAACCAGGACAAAAACTGGAAGCTACCGTGATATCTATTCTGTTTTATTTTAAACTCAACACACTGCAGAAATCAGACGTTGAACGACCGAATGGAATAAATCACCGGCACTCTTAATTTACAATGGTTTACTGCTCCCGAAGGCGGACGGGAGCAGGATCGAGATAAGGAACATATGACAGACAGGCCTTCATTATGTGACTTACGATGGTACATGTACTCTTTCTAAACCGATAGAATTCAGAAGTTTTGTCAGAATTGCTTATCTGAGTTTCACAGACATTAAGAACACCGCGAAGGTAGATTTGATTGATGTTTGATTCCAATTTGGGAATGAAAATTTGATCGCAGATCGAGTGGTCAACAATGTTTGTTAACATGGCCAAACTATCTTTGTCCGGAAATGCTCACCATTCAATCGGAATCGATTAGTGATGCTATTTACGTAACGTGTTTTTTTAACATATGCGCTCACACATTTTAGTAACGAAAAATTCGACACCAGGCGTTGCAGTCTCCGTAGTCTGCGGAGCGTTAGCCCAGCGGCTGACTTTTAGCCTTGGCCCACCGGTGGACAAAAATGATGGCGTTCCTGAAATAATTGCCTCTACACAATGTAATCGATAAGTAATACAAGTTATGTGACATAATTTTGAGCATGCGCACTAGACAATTTTAGAAACAAAGACCTTGACACCAGGCGTTGCAGTCTCCGTAGGCCGCGCGGCGTCGGTTCAGCGATTAGTATTGAGTTGTGGTTGACGGATGGACGCAAATGATGACGCTTCTGAAAGAAGTATCTTTGAACGCTTCATAGCACGAAATCTTACACTTCAATCAAGGCAGTCTGGGCGTGCATTTCAAAATGCGATTTTTAGACTTATGATAAGAACGGACTAACCTTTAAACCACCGCGAAGTGGGGCTGGAATCTGGTGGTTGAACTGGGAGAGTAAAGGTAGAATTGTTATTTTTCGCGTTTCTGTGACTATCGACTCGCCCAAAAGACAGATTAACTCGGCGCCCGCCGCCTGGTGGTATTGCAGTGGCTGAAGTTCGGTTTTTCGGAAGCTGTAGCCCAGGCCATCGTCCTTGCTTTCGAGGCTGCGGGCGGGCATGGTCAAACTTTTTAATGCAATTTGCTTCATTTATCCATTCTGAAAAATGAGCGTTCTCAGGCAAACATGGGATGACGTTTGTCTTTTTAAGCCCATTTTGCCCCGTTTTATTTGATGAAAATGAGACCCCCACTCTACTCAATAATAATGCGGCCCCTTATTTCCTTTCGGGCAAGGGGCCATTGAGTGGAACACCTGGGGCACATTACCGTTTCCGGTCAACGGCTAGAGGACCATTTCGTTCCATCGCGAAGTTACTTCTGGCTCTAATTCTGGCGACACGGAGCACGATCTCCTGGTCGATCCGGAGGCCATTAGAAATATATGTTATATCACACTGTCCCCCCCCCCTGACATGGGAGGCGTTCTGGCCCACACAGTTAGGCCCAGATCAGCACAGGAACCCTCACTGGCGCAATAACATCCCTTATCGTCGAAGGTGGTTCAATAATGGTCACATAGACTCCAGTTCGATGCCTTTTCTGTGTCCTTCAGTGATGTTGAGGACGTAGATTGTAGATGCAAGAAGGTCCCAAATTTGTATCAACATGGCTATCCACATTCATCTTAAATTGTTCAAGATTCGGTCGGAATTGATTACTGATAAAAACTATGTAATGTGGTTTTGAACATGCACGTTCGCAAGTTATAGCAACAACAGCCTCGACGACCGGCGCTGCAGTCTCCATAGGCCGCGTGGCGCCGGTCTCGCGGTTGTGATATAAATGACGGTTAATGAGGAGACGAAAAACATGACGCATGTTGAGGAAAATGGCTGCTGAAATATGTGAACAGGCATGTATGTTTAATGGAGTGAGAAAGTAGCCTATACACACCCTTAATCTGCAAGTGTGTGGGGGGGGGGGGAAGTTAACATTGCTGCCCCCCATAAAAAGTGGGGGGCGCAGCAGTGCCCTCCCCCCTCCCTGTTCCTACGCCCATGTCACACAATATAAACGGGATTCAAGTAACCGTGTAAGCTCACGGACGTTTGTAGTAGCTGCTTTTTGTTATGTGATGGAAATGTGCTCATCGAGATGTCCATTGGTTGATCATCGATGATAATCTCCGAACATGGTAACCTTGAGTGAGTGACCGCGTTTGGGAAATGTGGCAGTGGTGTTTGCTGGCATTCAATAATGACATGTTTTTATGCTCAATTGGTCAATCAAGCTACACTATTACACGCAGTAAATGGCCCCTGAAAGTGTAACTGGGCGGAACGTCTCGGAAATAATATATATTATTCGGGGTCACAATGTGATGGACCCAACTGGGATGATACCCTATTGTTTGATGCTCTGTTATGCTCCGTCGAGTGAGGTGACTGCTACGAGCCGTCACGCGGTTATGATGCTCTGTTATGCTCCGTCGAGTGAGGTGACTGCTACGAGCCGTCACGCGGTTATGATGCTCTGTTATGCTCCGTCGAGTGAGGTGACTGCTACGAGCCGTCACGCGGTTATGATGCTCTGTTATGCTCCGTCGAGTGAGGTGACTGCTACGAGCCGTCACGCGGTTATGATGCTCTGTTATGCTCCGTCGAGTGAGGTGACTGCTACGAGCCGTCACGCGATTACCAGACGTGCAGACGGCGGCTCCGAGCTCAGATACGGCATTTGGAGCGATACAGCAGCGTCATCGCATCGCGTTCGGCTTATGCCCGGCTCTGTGGTCCGGTTACCGGCCGCCAACGGACGCATACAACCCGCTACACTTGTAAGACGCCGGCTAGACGCCATACATTCTTAGTATCAAGGTGTGTCGGAATAAATTTGTTCGGACGGAGGTTGGTCGCGTTTAAGTACGTGTAACCATAGTTTGTTGAAGGTCGGCGTGCTAAGCCGCCATTTATAAATGACCTCACGCGTCTGGACCATTTTTCGCCCCACCGTCCACCGTTTACTCACCGTCTGCACTGGGCGCCCCATTCCCCGGCCTAGTTCTGGTGTTGTAAGTAAAGTCCCAGAGAGGTAACGTCCGTTTATCCCCTAATTGAGCCAGATGTGCTAAACAA